GGAGAGAACACTTAGAGCGCTGCGGGGTGCTCCAGGCTTCATCGCTTGGCACGGGGCTGCAGCAGCCACACAATGGGCGACTCGTTCATTTTGCAAATCTCCGCAGCTGTTTGTCGGGTTCACTCTATTTTGTGCACCTGCGACCATCTGGGCGTCTCCATTAAGGTCGTAAATCAGACCAGTTGCGCTGAGGTCATGATCCGTGCTGATTAACGCACAAGGGGGCAATTCTCGGTCACATTTAGCACGCTTCTGAATGCCAAGAGCGCCTCTGATGGCATTTACACGGGTCAAAGTGACGGCCGGCGAACGGTGGATTCGTGCCTCATCTATTTGAAAAATGTGACGCCGATAGCTCTGGCGTAGATTTGTTTTGATAGATGGCTTCGTCACGGAATGCTCGCCGTCGATAATGGAACTCCGTGACAAATGTTGGCCGAACCAAGCCGATTTCTGCACGGCTCAAGATTTCATCTCAGCCGTTCAGCGACGGAAACGCCTTTAGTCAAATGCTGTTTTGGATGATAGCCGCCGGCAGTGCCAAAATAGACGGTCCTTGGCCCCGTTTGGTAGTCAGAGGGTCTTCATTTTCCGTCCGTTTCACCTTTCTCTCACACTCAACCATTTACTCACTCACTCACTCCCTCAGTCATTTTATACGCACTCCTCACTCACCCACTCATTAATCCGGCATCTTGATCTAACGGCCGGTAAGTTTCCTTGTGGCCGTAAATCAGAAATGGACATTCGTTGACTGGTATGATAGATTAAGACGCATAGCCTGTGGAGGCCGTCACTTGGCACCGAAGAGGTGAAGTTGGCTGGGGTACTGCCAAGAATCGGGATGTAGCAGCACCATAAACCCAAAACAAAACCTATATTGTTATAACGAAGCATGGAGAGATTATAGGTAAGTAATTCATCCCTATTCCTTACCCACATGCCATGTATACAGGGTGTCCCAAAAGTAACGTCATCATTTGTTTTGGTCACATATCCGAAAATATGCGATGGATAAAAATAAAAAGATATCAAAGAAAAGAGCATTTTATAAAATTTTATTGGAATATAAATTTGAGTCAATGGTTTGGCTCGTAGCCCCACATTTACTGCTTTTCTGCAAGGCTACCATTTCGGGTCGCGTGCATATAGACTGCGCTTGACTTCCTCCGCCATTCTGGAGCAATTATCTGGTGAGATACCGCTTTTGTTTGCTTAGACGACTCATCCTTTAGCTCTTCCTTGCTCGCTGGGATGTCCTAAATGACAACCTCTCCGATGCGTGCCCAGAGAATAAAAATATGGAGGTGCTGACTGTTAAGTCAGGTGACCTCGGAGGCCATACGATGGCGGTGCCCTCTGAAAATCATTAGATGTCACATCCACTCTCGAAGACAATGAATGCATGGTCTTCAGGCCTGTGCATTGTGCAAGCATGGTCTCCATCTTGCTGAAACCACTGCTGGTTCATGTTGTCAGCATAGCTGGCGAGCGGAAGAACCACTGGAGGACCCTCGGCCAACTCTCTTGGTTTATCGTCACCAAATTCCCGCTGTCGTCCTCAGGACCTCGAAGGACAGGGGGCCAACATGCCCTGTGCGCCCATTATACTTTTTTCTGGCGTTTTGCCGGTTGCGCCGAAACTGTTAATTAGTTTAGAGATAGGGCAAGATGATAGCCTTCTATAGGGCTGAAAATTGAGCGGTATTTACGCCTTGTTACAATGACAGCCCCTTTCTTAGTGTTGAAGTTCAACCACATCGGTTTTCTGCTCACTGCTCGGTAAAGTTAACATAAAAAATGATTTAAGTGTGCAAGAAAATAATTTTATGAATGTAGCTTACACGTGCTAAAACTCGAGGTCATTCGGAATTCGGATGCTTACTTCTCGAGATATTTCCATTTTAAATGATAACCTTACTTTTGGGACACCCTGTATTTTATGTGTAAGGCTGAAAACTTGTCAGAGTATCTAACAGCCATCAACGAAAGGGCGCATTTTATAATTAAAAATAATGAGCTATCACTCGTGCGGTACTTTGCCATAATGCATTTCATTTACAAAATGGGATATGTAACGGTTAAAGCGTAATTGAATTACAGGCCTAAGGAGATGTTTCAACCTCGTGAGAGGTGCTTACGTAGTTTCTTCGTTAAGCATCCAGACATCTTTTCCATGCATATGATATGACCCAGTACGCATCTTGGGTGGTAGTGCTCATTCCAAAGCCTGCCTGCATTAGGGAACAGACTTGGAAGTTCATGATCGACATGTGGCTAGGGCTTTGGAATCAGGCTCATGCCACGGCCATGGCGAAAAGGAGAGAGCATAACGGTCCGATATCTGGAAGAAAAGTAGTTATTAGGCACCAGGTTCTCTTCATTTGTGTTCTCTTTGTAAGAATACAATTATAAGTTTTTGACTCGCACAAATTGGCTCCTGCATACCGAACTCTTGGTCAATAAAAATGTTATGTACAATCTTCGGAATTTGAACTATGAAGCTATGCCAGTTGCTTGACTGATTGATCATCATATGACAAAGCATAAAGGCGAATGATATAACGAAGCAAATTGTCTCTATATTAGGTCTTTACGGAGCTAATGAGGAAAAAGGTAAGACGAATAAAACGTCTTAAACGGTTCTTCTCGTCTGACAGATTAGCAAAGCAGTTGAAACTTCTCTCTTCGGTTTGGTTTGCTTGTTACAAATTCAGTCCTGTTAAATGTGAAACTCTTCTGAACACTTTTGCACAAATTTGGTAGCACATAAACCGAGATCACAGTGGATTCGTCGTTCGGGAAACTGGTACGCATGAATCTATTATACTTTGTGAACCCTTGCGCAAGCCCTTGCATGTTGCATACGTTAGCATGATTAAAGCGTTGCAAATGTTTTCAGCCACTGCTGACTTTAAACGAATGAAGCTCTGCAATGACCTGTACGCATGGCATGGGTGAAGTGTCAAATCTGCCATGGCCGCCAGGCTGACTGCTGAAATCCAGCATGTTACCGCCGCATGCAGAGCTCCTTGGGTCGAAGCCAGCCATTGACACAAGGATGCAAACAAGTCAGTGTTTGTGGACAAACTCATCGTTTCCTGCCGCGCTGATCACCCAACACCAGCCTTCCGGTGGCCGGTTCCGGCGGCGTGGGAACCGCTTCCGGTCCCGCTTCCGGCCGTCGATCGGAAACGGTTCGTCGAGCCTGCCAAACGAGCAGCGGTGCATCTGCACACCGCAGTGCACCTCTGGCCTGTACACTGACTCCTGCGCCCGCTCCTGGCTCTGTGGGACGTCGAACCCATCCTCTGAGCCCGTCACCACATCCGCGCCGCGCCGGCGACGGTCTGTCGGCTCCGACTCGTCCCACTCGTCGGCTCCGATGGCTCCTGTCGGCGCGGCGGGGTGCCTCGTTACGACGCCGTCGCGCCATCGACGGCCGCCCTGTGTAAACGTCGCCGTCGACAAAAGCTCCGTGCCTCATTAGGGGACCGGTGCACCCGCTCCGCCCCCTCTCCTCCCCCCCGCCCCCTCGCCCCGTCGAGCCCGACATAGACCTGGGCGTCGCACGCGCGACGGCTTCACCGGAGTCGAAAGAGCTCAGTCGTCAGCGAGGGCGTGGAACAGAACAGCTGCCCCGTGTATTACGGCAGAAAACGGTGCTTTTAAACGATGTACTATAGTTAGTCGGTAGGCGCAGGAGAGCTGGAATTCGCGTTGCGCGGACGCCGTCTCACACAACGCGTGCGGCTCCGTGTTCAACGGATAGCCTGACCACATGCTAACGATGCTCGTCTGAGGTGCATTATGGCGTCATTGTGTATTAACGACCTGCCGTAGTACGTGCCCTTTTGTTACGGGAACTCTTTGTGTGTAATCTCGTGCAAAAACCATGTGTATTGTTCCCAGCTGGGGGCGCTCGAAGAGTTATGCTTACTGCTTAGGATCACGCAAGTCATTTGTTAACATTAGGGTCAGCATAAAGGGCGGGCCTGTATAATTTTGTGACTCTTCTGTTGTAAATTTCGACGCTAGTCACGCATTTTAAGAGACGGACGATAATTTTTGCCCAGAATTAATTAAAAAGTGGCTCGGCCGTTTGGCTTCAGCGCAAGGCGTGCGAACAGGCTCTCCCGGATGCGTCCCACCATCTTACCATCACGGAACTGGATCGAAAAGATCAGTAGGCGGCGCGCATTTAGCAAAATACCAACCAATTCGCCTAATTGGTTATCGTGCGGGTCGATTAGCCTTGGAGCAATTTTGTTATTACACCGTCATGCTTATCGATGACGATCGATAAGCGTGAGCTTATCCAGGATTCCGGTGATCGACTAGCGTCAGAGACTAAACATGCAGCACCGTAGCTGTCTGAAACGAATGATAGCCGTCTTTGATGCATAACGCTGTTTAGCATGTAAGTTGCAGGCGAATCAGATGTGTGATGCATGATAGCCGACTCGTTTTTACCGACCGTATCCTTGCTTCATCGATGAGTCCTCCCCAAACATTTACACAGTTGGCCATATTCAGGGACATTTTAGGTCTCAGTTTTCACGTAGTGACATCTGGTACAAACAGAGCGCTGTAAGCAGGGCGATGTCATTTCCTGAGTTCGATTTCCACTGGAGCTGTTACCTTGTCTTGCCGTGTTTGCCGTCTTTGCGGCACCTCCAAACAGCGCCTATCTTTTGTACAACATTTCGCCGCCGCCCCAGCCACGTCCGCCGTTCTGACGGGCTCGGCGGCTCCGAGAAGACCCGGTGCAAATTCCCAGACATCTATCAATCACCGTTTTCCTTGTCCATCCATCAGCTCGAGCCGGCCGCGCCGGTGGCCCGGGGCTCCGTGCGCGCGGCTCCGCTCCCGCCCTGCTCCCGCCCTGCTCCGTCGACGACCGCCTCCGGCGACCGCCTGCCCCGGGCGCAGCCTCCTCCCTGATCTGATGGCATCGTGTACATGATGGATCGGGCTCATCGCGCGCCGTTCGCTTCCAGGCCAGCTGACGCGAGTGACGGCCGTCGAGGGTGAGACAGCTGAGCTGCCCTGTGACGTCACACCTCCCGTCGCCGGCGACGAACTGCGATTGGTTCTCTGGTACTATGGAACCGGAGGAACGCCTATATACACGTAAGTATCTGCATGACAAATTCCATATAAGACTTTGGTGATTGTAGTAAGCCCATGTTGCGCTTGTTTCGAAGGAACTTTCCCATGAGGTTTATCTTAGGAGGGCCTGCCTCCCTTTTCGTCCCCTTGAGGAAAACGGTTCAGACAATGGCAGTTCGGTTTAGCTTGCAACGATTCAACTGATCCTGCCCAGCGGGCTCAGAGTCGCTGCAATCCGTTGCAAATCGCACCCATGGGAATGTGGCGGTGACCGCGAATGACGTCGTAAATGCAATAAAAAAGGTCCGTTGTTCCATAGACTATGCTGAGATTTTGAAACAAATGTGAGCATTTGCTCAATATGCTCCAGCAATAACTTGTCCCAGTGTAGATTCTGGGATGCGTCGTTACATAATACATATCATATATTTCTTTGAGTCGCTTCAATGCTAGGCTGAGTTATGTTATGTGTGACTGGGTCGATAAAATCCCAGTCTCTGGCTAGGTCAAAGCTGAATAAAATTAGCGTCCATCATAGTGCGCCGTCCCAACTTGAGCATGGCTCCATTTATCTTTAGTTCATCATAAAACACCTCATCAGAAGGGGCCGCCCAACTCGTTATCGTTAATGAGCGTCGCGTCAGACAGAAAATCCACTTCAATGGCAATAAAAGCTGTTGTTTCCTACAGTTTCGCTATGACTTCTCCACGAACCCTGTTGGATGTATACAAAAGCTTTGTTTTAGGGCAGTGTACTAAACTTGGCGAGAAAATGAGCAATTAGGCGAGCCAAATATCCCTGTTAGATATTTAATCGTCAGTTTATTTGCCTTGCTTATATTGTTCCTACCCAATAGGCATGAACAGAAAAATCATGAGGTAGTTTTGGGCACAAGCCGGGCGCGTCGCGCTGTATGATGCATGGGACGAGCTCATCAGACGCGATGATGGTGTGAAGACCACACCTCGTACTCCTTGCTCTATTTCCGCATTATGAAGGTGTGGTTATCAACAAACTCGAACCGATGCATGGCAGCGAAGATTCTTGCTATAAGTGTGGGGATTTGCGACTTTATGTAGTCACCGCACGTTGGACCGGATGAGATTGCACTATATTTTCAATGCTGAACACATGGCCAAGGTCATGGGGTACTAGGCCTTGGTGCGCGGAAGGAAATAAAATGTCAGAGGAAAGGAAAGGGTCTCCACATCCTGATATAGGTAATAGGTAGTGCGTCGCCACAGAAACAGCAATTATCTTGTGACAGGAAAGTGGAATAGTCTAGGAATCGTGTATGTTTGTTGGTTAGCCAGCCTAAGGCATTAGGCAGCGAAGGATAATAGCCGTTTTCACGACGGGCTATCCGGCGAATGCACCTGATTGAACCTGATTTGACCAAATCTGCACATAATTTCTTTTACAGCAAATATCTTTATTTTATGAATTTATTTCAGTGTTTTAATCGATGATACTCTCTGATAATATGGCAAAGCAGGCACATAAGCAAATGGTGCAACGCTATAGCTGATAGCTACTTAAGAGACACACTGAACCTGATTTGACCAAACCTGCACCTGTCTGCACCAGATGTGCACCAAATGTGTACCAGATGGCCGTCGTGAAAACGGCTTATAATGACTTTTGCTATAAATTTTTGAGTGAAGCGAGCTCTAAAGGACAAGTGAATGCATAGTTGCATATGCAAAGGCATATGTACTTCTCTCTGTTATAAGTATCCGTGATGGCCTCTTCAATCACAAAGAGCTTACTCAAAATCAGCTCCGAGAAAAAGAACAGAAACAAGCAGTGCATTATTTTTACGTGGTTGCGAGTATTGTTGTTGAAAGCGTAATGTCTATATTTATCCTGAAAATGTGCGTACAACAGTTCGTAAATATCTAAAAGCGCTACGTATCAGTAGCAAGGTATGTTGGGCAGACGGGCTTCAAAGCCCGTTGGCCGTCTATATAATATTCACACCAGGCTTAATGTGGCTAGGAGAACCTCTGACATGGACATTGGACAGGGACAGACAGCACTCTGAACCACCCAGAGTGCACCGCGAAGCCGCCGTTCTCCCGACACCGATGCTCGGACTCAGTATTGTGCAGCAGAGGGACGCAGCGCTATGGACGTGAAGTGCAATATGTGCTGGCAGCCGCGGGGGCTCACGGTCGGATATGGGCCTTAATGTCACCGGAATGGTAGCCCATGCCTTCCCAGACATATTGACTGTCTGCCCGTGGAGGGATGTGATCGGAATAGCCAGTGACGCAACTTCTCCATCGCGTAGGATGATCCAAGCCGGGGACGAGGCGCCTCACGTCCGGTTGCTGCAATGCACTGTTATGTAATGGAACAAATGCACTAACACATTAGCGATAAGATCATCTAGGAATCGTTGTTACCCCGGCTGATTCAATTTCTTATGGCGTAACCTTTCCAGCTCCGACAGCAAACTTTGTTGGCTGATTGCGGTTTCCGGGAAATCAGTATTTGAATCTTTAAATGGAAGCTTCTTGCCAAGGCCTTATCTTTTTGTTATCGAAAGACCGGTTTGATCATGTGGTCAAACCATTTAAATGGCTTGCAGATAAATTTATTCTGCGTTTTACCTACAAACCCAATAACAGGCACATTAACTCATTATATTTGCAATACTTGGAACGTAATTTTCCATAGGGAAATTCGAAAGCTTAGAAGGAAAAAAATATGAGGAGACGGGGAGGGGTTGTTATTTTTTATCTTTCGAAAGCGATGCACACGTATGCAGGCATTTAAAAGGAAATTATTCATGGAAACGGCCTTACTCACAATCAAGCTCGACTAAATTGAAAAAGTAGCAAGATATCAGCAAATGCATTGACATCGTTTAGTGGATCAATACTCAAATGCAGTCATATTTTGAGGATCTTCTTGGGCACCAGAGGCATATCTAAAATGCATGGCCATTAATCTCCCTCGCTTTAAGTATCGGGGAGAAAGTTCTATCGATTCCAACTGCTCTAAGTTACGATGCGTGATGGTTCGAAGGATGTTGATCCATCGTAACCCCTAGGCCCGGGCCATATAAGGCGTGGTTTAGTGTCCCTAGTGCTGGATTGAGTATAGCTGGGCCACGCCATGGAGGCAGCACCAGGGCTATATAAGCGACAGTGCTCACATTAGCCTAATGTGCTATGATTTGTGTCGCCATCAATCCTGCCGGAGTAACTTAGTGTGGTGACTCATTTGCCATTGCGTGGTATTATAACCGCAAAGGGAGCGCGTTTGACCAGTCAAAGTATCCAAGTAGCAATATCGAGTACCAGCCTGTGATATTGACTATTGAATTTGCTTGACTCAACAATAAGTGTTTCAAAGCAGAGTATCTTCACAAATGACACTTCCTAGTTAGATGACAAGCCGGTATGACATGTTTTGGTGCAGTTGGACGCTGTAGGAAGGCAGGCAGAAGCGAGGATTTGAATATTTATTTATATGTAAGCTTTTCAATGCGGTAGGTATAACAGCAAGCATATACCTACCTGTTCCATTGGCGAAAGGGGGACAAGACATATTCGCGGGGGCCGCCGCAGTGTAGAAATCGAAAAAAACACGAAAGGAGATGTTTGGACTTCTTAGGCAGCGCATAAATATGCCCATTTAGATTTGTTTCTAATTTGAGGCATTTCTTAGCACCCTACCACCCCATCCCTCGAGCGGCCATCTTATAAGATGCACAGCGCTTGTATGGTCCGCTGTATGTATGTATGTATATATGTATGTTCTCAGCGTCAGAATACTGAAGACGCATATATGTAGGTAAATGTCAACTTAAGACTACGTGTAACAAATGTAGTCGCAATGCTCTAAGCAGCTCAGCCAGATAATATATGTGAAAAAATGCCAGTACATTGAACAAAGAACAATTTTAGTCAACGCAGGCGCAACCCTTCAAACAGCTCAACACCGTGTCCCTAAATGCAAGAACCTGGAACAATGTAAGCTTGTTAACCGGATGGTATGGCCAGCGTCATGCCGGCTAACTCACTGCCGACCTATACTTGCACCACCATAAAAAAACAGGTGTGGCCAGCTTGTGGTAGTGACTTTTATTCTCCAGACGCTAATGTAAAGACCTTGACATACCTTCCCATGGTGTTTTGTTTCAACTGTTCGTGTCAATAATAGCAGCTTAACGAGGCTCTAACTGAATAAAAAATATGCTTAGGATTGTATTCTTATATATCTATTCATATGTGAAGGTGTTTTTCCTTTAAATGTGCGGTTACATCATATCAGTTGCATTGCAATGGCGTCCACTTTCTACAGCGTAATGTGTTCGTTCCGCGATTGTGATATCATATATCAGAATGTAGATGAAACTAACTTACCTTTCACTATTTGAAGCCACTTTTCCCTAGCCTAGCTAGTTCACTCAAGCCGAAAATACTGCACCGACTTACCTATCTGCGATTTTGTCACCGAATTGAGACTGCTGGAGGTCGTGGATCTCAAGTCAACTGCCACGAGTTCCATGCTTCATCATGATCCCCGTCTTACCATCTCGCTTTGATTTCAGATACGACTCACGCAACCGGAACCAGATTCTTGGCGAGCACTGGGTCGACTCCAGTCTGGACCGAAACCGAATCCAGTTTCAGCCGGACGCTCGACCTGCCCACCTGCGTGTGACGGGTGTCCAGCGGGCCGACCAGCGCCTCTACCGGTGTCGGGTCGACTTCCTCCACTCCCCCACCAGAAACTCGCGGGTCAACCTCACCGTCATCGGTGAGTAGAGGAGTTCAAGTAGGAGAGAACTGGATCAGCGATAATACCTAAGAGATGCCAGCCCATGCGATGGTGTCGTAAAACAGTGAAGAGGCACAATGCACTCTGGCTATTCGCATCGGCGTTTACATCATGACGTTTTTCTTACGAAGTGTCGGCGCTCTTTTTTGAAATTATTATTAGTTTCTCCAAAAATCATTTACTTCAAAATTGGTGCTCCACTCATCTGAACATTTGAAAGGCATCTACGAGAAAAAGATTCATTTACAACCATTTTCATCCGTAAGCTCTTTGTTGCCTGTGAAATGTAGGCTCGGGCTTCGGCTGAATTGCATTGTTTGGTTTCAAGTGAATCCCATTTGGCATACCGCATAATAAGCCGATTTTGACTAATATTATTTGAGGCACTCTGTTTTCTGCAACAGCTAGTGCTCGTTATATCATACCAAGCGCTTTCAGTGCTTCCAGGGCTTCGTGGACGACAGTACACCGTAAATTTCATCGTCAGACGAAAAAGCTTCCGTTTGGCTGAGCTCACGGTCAATTGTTTGGCGTAACCATCGGGTAAAGCATTCTCAATGGCGCCCTTCTAACTCTCACTCGGACTCTCAACTCTCACCAGAGTTTTAACTCCCCTATAGGAGTGCCTGGGGCGATGTGCCGGGCCCAGGGGCGCAGCTCGGCCCGGGAGCTGCGGCCCAGCCCGCCAATCGGAGCCGTCACAGCCAGGCCCGAATGAATCTCGGAGCCACGGACGGTTCCCGGCATCACATTCATAACTGCGGCTGGTGTTGGCAGCGGCTGGTGTTGGCAGCCGGGCCCGTGCACTGAGAAGCAGCTGCCGACCGGCCCTCGGCCGATCATTTATCTGCCGACGCGCGATTAATGTCGGACAGACCTGATGACGGCCGCTCATGCCTCCGAGTCATCCCGGTGACTCACTGATCGGTGTTTCACGCCGCCCCTCGCCAGGCGCTGCTGGAGTCATCAGTCATTCTGCCATGCGACTCGCTGCAACGCGAACGGTCCGTCCAGTGATCGACAGATGAAATTTGCACCGCGATACGCTCCGCTGATGATGGTTGCTGTAGGTGCGGAAGTGTAATATCGGGGATAGATTCAGGCGTAAACTTTTGATGGATAACGGATATGTGATGTGTCGCACCCACACATCAGTTCCCTGTAGTCTCTGGTGTTCTGCAATGCACCGTGGATTTATCGAAGCTTTCTGCAGACATTTCTGCACATTGGTAAACATCATTGAGTGGCACACCCCATCATCTGTGTATTTTTCCTCTGCAAATCATTATCAGTCACACCCTTCTGTGCAGTGCGCTGGCATCATTCACCATTTGCGCCGGGCCATGAGGTGCTGAGACAATGCCGCCATATGTAGACAGACCGCACTCATTCCTGCGCTGCCGCGCTATCGGAGCTCGCCTATCCTGAGGGCCTGGTGCGCCAGTGTTTGCATACTCCTCTGAGAGCCAGATTACACCCAGCAACCGAGCGGAGCGCTCGAGAGGCGACGCCTTGCTGGCGTGAGAATCCCCTGCGCCGGCTACTGGCCGGGCGTAATGAACCCTGTTCAATTATTCCCGCGCATAGAGATTAGACGTTTTGCTAAGGGTCATTAGGTACCCATTTGGATCGAGAATTGCGGTGGCTGAGGATGTTTGATATTGATGAATCGAAATTTTATTTGTACGCGTGAAGTTCTCATTAGAAATGCATCATAAGTCAATTCATTTAGCAGCAGCGGATTGTTTTTCGCCACAAACGTCAATCTATCGCACTTTAATTTATCCATTAAAAGAGTTCCAAAGAGCATTATAATCCCCAATCAGTGGTCCTAAAACTCCAGCTAAATAAGTTAACATCGATGGCCCTACCCTACCAATATTTGACGGTAAAACTTGGCTCATCGCTGCATTCTAAACAAAGCATTCAGACCCGTTTCTTGGGCACTTTGCAATAAAGTCAGTTTTATTCTTCTGCAACCCCGATGCCCATATAAACTGCGCTTCATTAGCAAATCGAATCGGCCGGGTGTGACAGAAGGAACATTATTCTCTGATGAGTTGGCATTAAACTGCACTCGCCGCCATTAAAGTTGTCCAATTTTGGCCAATATTTCTCACTATGTTCCACATTTTGCCTGCTTATTCCTTGTCATGGGGGAACAAAGAGGTCATTTGCGTAATGTTCGGCCGAGGGCCGGTGGTGTCCGTGGGTGATGCACCGCCTCCAGTCTCGACATAGACACCGGGCGATGGCCCCCGCAGTCCCGTCGGACACCGCAGCTCCCTGTGCAGGACAAATAAGGGGATTTCAGTCGCCAAAGGGGATTTTGGTCGCGTACGTCGTCCAGTATTGATTGGCTGTGTCTCCCCTCTTGGTCTCCCCGTCGCAATTTTCACGGCGAGAAATCAAAGCGGTCGCGTATGACGAGCCTCGAGGGAGGGGGTGAGACCCCGATACCGGATCGAAGCAGACGAATGAGTTGTCCGCACCCGTCCAAATGAGTTATAAGAGTGTAAAGATCGACTTATTAGAGATTCGTAGTGATGAAATTGTACGATAGGAACTTGAGAGTAGTGTCATACATTAGACGATAGTGTCCATGCCAGTCATTGATGTAGCAGTATAGGTACCAACATTATAACGTGTCGTAAAGGCAGCATGACTATCGATGAGCTCCTTACACAGAATAACTCCTTATAGCGGCTACTGGGGGCGGCTGGTGAGCACTTACAATGGTTAGAGAAGGACCATAAACCTTTTGCAAACAGCGGACCGATACGGCGATGGGCGTCGCGCGATGCCCACGTTATGGGCGCCCCGATAGCGCGGGCGTCTATCGACATAGAGCGCCCACGGGTACGGTGGCCGGCTCCGGCAAACTCCGTGGCGGCCGAAGGGACCGACGGAGGTCGAACTGGATCCGTTCGAGGCGCTGAAGAGCTAGAGCGGAGACCAACTCTTTCGTCCGTCGACTGCCACTCCGGCAGCCCATTCTTCAGCGATGCAGAAATTTACATTCTAGCGATATTTACGGTGACATTTCGCACAGCCAGCCTGGCTGATGCCTTTCATTATGAATAGATTGCCTTGACGGGGAGTCGCTTGGCGGCGGTGATGCGCCTCCAAATATGGAAATTTCCCCGCTGAATTTACCGCCCCCGGGCCCGATTCCGATATTGGATTCCATAACGCGACGATGCCGCCGGAGGGCATATGACAAATGATGGGCGTTGTTTCTTGTCGCGCCGTGAATCACGGCGGATGACGCGACGCTTTGGTACGCTCTCACCGGCCCAGAACATGTCCTGGCCTGGCGGTTGTCTGGCTTTGAAGAGCATTGTTTTCGTGTTTTGCTGCGGGCGGATAGTTGATAGATGTTCAGATAGCTGATCTGAATTTCAAATCATTGGGCCATGCATTTGCGTGGTGTCTTGTTGCATCGAGATGAAAGATGCGTGACGTTTTTATTCGCAGCCGGCGCGCAGGCTTTGTAGTGGCTTCATATGTCTTTCCGTCTGACAAGGCGGGCGATGATGCGCGTTGTTCTGCGTATTTCTCGAAGAGCAGCGCGAAGCCCCGGCATCGATCATCCCTAAACAGCACGGCGGCGGTTTTGGTGTAAGAGGATGCCGCCAAATGCTCGTCGTGTTTGCACGCTGTCGCTCCAAGCTCACGTATGTAAGAATTACATACACCGCCCGGCATCCGACAGAAAGATTATCCTCAACGCAGTTCCTGTGGCGCCTTTTCGAATCCCTCTCTCTCTCCCCTTCCCTCTCTCTCTCTCTCCTCTCTCTCTCTCTCTCTCTCTCTCTCTCCTCTCTCTCTCTCTCTCTCTCTCTCTCTCCTTCTCTCTCTCTCTCCCTTGATCTGCCTCTCCTGTTTGTCCATATCTTTCTACGGCAGGCGCAGCCTGTGTGCCTGTCTGTCTGCATGCGTCTGTCTACAATTCTGCATATATCCAGTCTGCGCGCCTCCCTGCCTTTCTTTGTCTCAGACTGCTCTGTCTTTCATTACAGTTCCTCCTGGTACACCGGTGGTCACAGATGATAAGGGGCAAGTGGTGGAGCGAGGTCAGAGTCGTCGCCATCGAGAGGGCCAGATGCTTCACCTCACCTGCCGCTCTTCGGGAGGTAAGTGAGCTATCCTGTGGAGGTGAGCTACTCTTAGGGGGTGGGTTTTTCATAGGACGTGAGCTATCTCTGAGAGGTGAGATAATCATTGGGTGTGAGCTATCCATGAAAAGAGCTATTCATGGGATGTGAGCTATCCCTGGAAGTGAGCTATTCGTGGGAGGTGAGCTATATGTACAGTGGGATGTGAGCTATCCCTTTGGGGTGAGCCTATCCTATCCTGATGGTCGGGTGAGTTACTTTCGGAAGGCTGTTGATTATGCGTAGGATTCATTCTTAAAAGTGGCTTCGGTGGCTAGTGCCTTTGCAGAAACGTTAAATGCGTCGCAATTCACTAAATCAATAAGAACATTTGCCCGAGTACGCTTCCAGAAAAGACACCCTTGAAGAAATCATCATCAGTCATGACAAGTCGCAGGAATGTTACTCAAGAGTCACAAAGAGGGTTTACAGGATCACTGAAAGGTCACAGAGGTCACTGTCAGGTCATAGAGGTCACGGAAATGTCGCGGTAATATCCTTCCATCGGCGATCGCCATATTATTTGCTGGTACACGTTTGATGGCGCCCTGCGCTAATGGAAGTTTAAACCTTTGGCTCGGATGCTCTCCACGAGCCAACAGAGCCGAGTGGCGCTCAAACACGACGCCATATTGACTTATTAAACTGCACGTGTCCGCAGCCGAGCTGCTCGGCCCGGAGGCGGATCTGCCCCACGGACCGGACCGTCTGTGCTAGCAAGAAACCTTATCGAAAGCTGGACTGCCGGTCAATGCTGAACAAACTTCGGCCACCAAAGTTTGTCCTCAGCTCGCTGGACCACATAGGAAAACTGAAGATGTTTCTTCGTTTCATGCAAGCTATCTGGTTTCACCAACTTTGCGGAATGTGACCGACCTGACCTGGCCTGACCTTCTAAGACTTTACCCCTAAATCTTAGGCCAAATCTTGACCTGACCTACCTCGGCACGTGCTCTGATTTAATTTACCAAGCTCAACCCAGCCTAGCCTCCCGACTCTCTACTAGCCTACACGACCTGATATGACCTGACCTGACCTTAGCAGCAACAAGCTCCCAATTATCAGACCTGACCTGCCTCAAGCAATGGCCGGAAATGGCCTACCCTGGCTGGCCTCATGCTCTCCTCCCCATTTCCAAATCTGACCTCCTCTGACCTCTGGCAGGCTCGCCGCTGCCGAACGTGACCTGGTGGCGTGGCAGCACCCTGGTGGACAGTAGCTGGGAGGAAGAGGGCAACGGCACGGTGGTGAACCAGCTGACCGCCGGGCCTCTCTCCCGAGACGACCTGGACGCCTCCTACACCTGCTGGGCGGCCAACCACAAACGGAGCCTGCCCAAGGCCACCAAAGTCGCCATCGACATGCTGCGTGAGTAGTGGCACGATAAATCAGAAACAGACTTTTGACGAATAAGAGTTTTGGTAGCGATTCTTCCGGGGAATGACGGCTATATTGAAGGACGAAGTTCGTTCGAGGAGTGGTTATTTTTAGGCATTAGGTGTTTTATTTGTATTGTTAATGGAACCTAGGAGTCATCATTCAAGAAGAAGAAAAAACATGAAGAAGTCAATGAAAACATAAAAGAGAAATCAATTAGGAGAGAAATGGTGATTCAGCCTGGTGAGCTAAAATCTGAACAGCGTTCAAAATACCCGTTCTAGCGCTTCCTTCTAGGCGACCACTAATGGCCAGCATTACCGACGGGGCTTGTGGAGCCAGTAAATTCCCGAGTCGCTAAGTCTCCGGCTGAGTTTGAACGCCGCCGGCCGTGCCGGAGCACGCCGTCCCCGGATGTGGGGCCGCTGAGCGCGCGCCATTTATACACCCGGCCGCTGAAGTTTAGAGGCCGTGCGACGGCTGACTGAGATTGTTGACTGTGTTCATAAGGCTTCGTGGAAGAAGAGATGCGCTTTCACAACAAAACACTCTGTCTTTGTGACACTTTATATTTTGTTAAAATATTAAATGTTTTAGGGAATATCGGATATGCTTGCCTCATGACAAGTTTTTTGTTATTCCAATGTCATGTTTGTGATTTCTTATCGTCTGCATGATGGTTTAGGAATAAGTTCAAATGATCCAAACACATCCATACTTCATCAGTCCTTCATTTTCCCGCAATGTGCGGTACGTCTATTGGCATGTATCTCACTTTTGCATATTCTCGTGACGTCCGTTTTCCCACTGTGTCCACAGTGCGGCCTCTGACGGTCAACCTCCTGGGCACCAACAACCCGCTCTCGGCGGGGGTGACCTACCAGCTGACCTGTCAGAGCGTCGGCTCCCGACCGGCGGCCACCATCACCTGGTGGATGGGAGGCCAGAAGCTCCGACTCACCAACCAGGTCAGTGGCACAGATACCCAGCGAGGAGCTGTCGGAGCGGCGAGCTGGCGGAGCTTCGAGCTTGTGGAACTTGCAAGCTTGCGGAGCTGGGGCAGTTGGATGTTATGGGGTTGGCGGTCTGGTGTTTAAGAATGCCGTTGTTGTAGCCATGAAGCCGTTAAAGGGACTATCCCACCTTCTAAAATGTTGTTAAAACCAGTTAAATTGTGCCCGACTTTATAGATTGGATGACCAGGAACACGGTTCTGGCATTTATTTTTCATTAAACATCTTAGGCTTCCCATATTCCAAACACAAACTTTCAAATATGTGACGTCACAGCCCAAAATTACCTCCTTCCCCAGGCCACATTACTGTCATAAAGCCGATTCTTTTTACTCTGTAGGCACCACAACAAAGTTCAGACCAAGTTTTAAGCGATTTTTTCAACGAACAAACCCATTTAAATCAGAATGACTAAACGAGGTGACGTCACACTAACGGTCGCTCCATGTTGAAGATAGGGCCTTGTACAAGGCCCATTTTCAAATGAAGGGAACGAATTTCTTCAACACGAAGAGGCCGCGGGGGTTACAACCTAGATAGATAGTGGTTACTGAACCTCGCCGCAAACTTGGCTATCTCAACTCAAACCCCATGTTAAAGGTGGGATAGTCCCTTTAAATAATGTTTTGTTTTCGTGGACACTGGTTTGTTTGGTTAGCCATTGTTAGGAGCTAAGCGTTTTTGTTGTATAGCTCGATGTGAGGATTTAGGGAAATAGGGAGCAGTCGGGCAATGTGCTTTCAGATGTCCTTGAGAAATGTTTAAAGCACCACCTACAAACCACAAGAAATACTATCATGGAAATTCTCTTCTGGTATTACAAGTACAGTAATACCCCACAATCGACCTTGTTGAGAGCATCACGTAATTAGCTGAAAGTGGTACCACCAAAAATGTCTCACAGATTACGAATTTCGCCATCAGTTCTTCAGAAGGCATCGTCATATACGGCGAGTGACCCTGCTAAAAATGTGAGCGAGATTTTAGCAGCTCTCCGGCAAGCTTTGACGGCAAACCGTCGGAAATGTGCTCCATCCGGTTTTATGTAACGTCATACTGAAAGCGGCTGTGTCGTTTCAGACCAGCAGCCACGACGGCAACGTGACGACCTCTAAAGTGACCTTGACCCCGCGTATCGAGGACAGCGGACAGCTGATCCGCTGCCAGGCTAGCAACCCGCTGCTGAGAAACTCCATCGAGGACCTGTGGAGATTGAAGATACGCTGTAAGTGCCGGCAGTGTTCAGTGCTCTGTGTGCACGGTCGTTAGCGGTGCAGTGTGTCCCCGGGATGGCCGTTTTGGGTGATCTGTTAGCCTGTGGAGGTTTATACTCCCCCGAACGACTACGGGCGCCGTTGCGTCTGTCGTAGCCTGACGCTTGATGGGGGTGTTTCACGTCGTTAATGATTATGGGAATTTTGCAATGACGTCATCTAAGAGACCACCGATCTTGATACGCGATAGCTCAATGGGCGTGAGACCATGCCGCTTTCCAGTGCAAGGCGCTAGCCGCTATGCTTGCAATGTTGGATGCGTAGAATGGTATTACATGTGCCACAACATGCTGCAGAATTTTAGAAACGTGCCTTTAGGAACACAATTTTGTTCGGCGTTGGATGAGTGTTAGCGAAAACAGCGCAAAAGCTATTGAATGTAAAGAAAATATCCGGGCTCTCACCACGCTGAAAAACAATATGGCGTGGGCGCTCATTTCCTTTCATGGCCGCTTTTAATGTAACAAATACCTAGCCCGTTCTGCCGGCTTGCGGATGAGACCGTTTCCGCCGTCCCACCCCACCCCATTCTATCCTATTCTGTCCCATCGCAGCCCGGTTTCGTCCCACCCCCGGATAAGAAATCATATCATCGGCCGTTGAAGCCCGGTGGCGCTCGCGGAGCGGATGAGCCCGGTGCGGCGCGTCGTTCTTTGTCGCGACAGCGTCGGTTCTGTCGACCGTCGCCAAATTGCAGCCATTCACCGGCGTCGCACACGGCCTGCGTCGGTTGCCGGCATGTGAAACGCTTTGTCCCCGGTGCGCCGGAGACGCCGCGGTGGCCCAGTGCGTGAGACGGCCTGCGCCGCTATTGTCGCCGCGCCGCCGCGCCGGAGACAGTCGCGCCGCGCGCCGTTTTGTAGATGACAATCTCGCGCCGCTGCTCGTCGCAGCCGTAAATACGTCAGACGCAGGGCGCGAATAGAGCCGAGTGGGCCGGGGAGGGCGACGGACGGACCGGGGAGGGAGGAGGGTGTTAGGCAGGGCGTGTGCCCGCGGAGATTTACAACCAGAGGAACATACACGGGGACGTTTTCATTGTGTTGACTCGCTGAAAACACGCCTCAGAGTGCCTGCCGCCGCGATAGAGACTCGATAGGACGCGTGTATTCTCAGGAGTTGACGGGCGTTTAAACCGTCATTACAGGGAGTCTGATAGAGCGGGCATGGCCCACAAGTAGGCGAGTACAAACACTGCCTGTTCTCCCCCGCCCCCGGGGCTCAGGGAGGGATACTGTATTGAGGAGGTTGCGGATGATAATAGATGTAGGAAAATGTGTGCCCATGGGGTCGGCATTCATGGAACTGCGTCTGGTGGGATCCGGATTGGGGGACTGGGCAGTGGCGGATCCAGGGGGGGGGGGCTGCGGGGGCTGGCAGCCCCCACCCAAGGAAAACTGGCGCCACTGCGCCGAAGGCGCAGTGGCGCCAATTTTCAATTCGCAACTCATCGGAGTGCCGCATACTAGGACTAGGATGCAAAAATCAGTCGAATAACGTCGTTTCAGTACGCTCCGCACCGATATTTCCAATCTGTGGTGTCACTGTACATACTGATCCTGGGCGCCTCTTGTCAGGGCCACTGGGCGCCAATATTTCAGCGCCAATACGATGCGACTATGGCGCCCATCCGGGGCGTGGCGCCCAATTATGACCTGCAGCCCCTCCCCAGTGAAAATCCTGGATCCGCCACTGGGACTGGGAGCATGGGATGAGGCATGAGGGCGTTCGGGCAATGACCTAATGCTTGTGGGATACCTACACAGTGACCCATATTCCCCATACACGCACAAGGCCATGCAATGGCATTCGACATAAAATGTTTATCACCGTATATTATACGTAAAATGGGTTGGGAGGAACATAATGTGCGGTGCGAGCAGTGCGAAATTCAAGAATCATGGGTTGAATTGTAAAAAAAAAAATCAATGTCCCGGGTCTTGGTGGTCACTTGACAGTGACCTGATCTGACCTGACCCGTTCTGTCGTTCCCCAGACGCGCCGCAGGTACAGCTCACAGTTCGGCCCTCACGACCTCACGACGTGGGTGTCCGCGAGGGTGACCAAGTCTCCATGGAGTGCAGCGTGAAGGCCAACCCGCCACCCCTCCGAGTCGTCTGGAAACGCGACGTAAGTGAACTGCTGTCACCTCAATACTACATATGTGACTCTTGCCGACATGTTACTGATGGAGCATTGCTTGAGGTTCTATTAAACGTTATCCAGTGTCTTGCTGGGGATTACATCATTTTATTTTTGCGATGCCACTTGCCGCACGCTCCACGTTTTGGTATAAGAACCGTTTTCTTTGAACCCCGTTTTGCCATTGTTCCGCAATGTTTGATGGTGTAACGCTCGAGCGAGCCCACGCCTTCTTCTGATCGAAGCCGCCAACAATACACCACACAATGGCGCTCTTTGTGACGCGAGCAAACACCCTGAGATCGTCTGTGATTGTAATGATCAACTCAACACGGGGATCGAACATTTACGACGCTGGGACAGGCTCGATTCCCATTAGCGGCCGGCGAGCGATGCGGCGGTGTTGTCTGTACGGGACTCAGGCGCTGACAGTGACACCGGTCCGGTCACGATTGTCAGCTCAGCGTGATGTCTGGATCAGCGCTCTGAGCGAGCAGAGGTGCTGACATGACCCAAACAGCGGAGACGCTTGTTACGGCTTGGTGACCAGACCATCTGACCGGGGGCAGGGTGAACTGTGTAACAACTGACAGACTCACACAACTTGTGATGTCTAGCCATGCGGTTTTTGAGCTATGCATCACTCGTCAGCAAATTGATAGCGCAGACAGCCTGAAGCCACCGAAATTTTCAACACGGGCTTGCCATTGGTTTACATCGAAGAGTTTTGAGATGACCTTCTGTAAACTCAACTGACGTCACGTATCCTACCTCGTGTGAACCGTTCTTATATTTGCATTTTATTGAATATCGCCAGCGGGTACAAAACCCAATAAAAGACGGGGTTCCAAAGTAAAAACAAAAAACCTAACCGCCCCTTCGTCCCACAGGGTCTGGCGCTCGTCAGCGACCCCCGTCGGAACATCAACCTGGACAACAGTTCTCTGACGCTGTATGACGTGACGCGGGCCGAGTCAGGCAACTACTCGTGTGAAGCTTTCAACGACGAGGGCACCGGCACCAGCGTCCAGATGCCGCTCCGAGTACAATGTAAGTATTGGCAGTTCTGGTGTGCTTAGGTTGACAAAATAGTGCAAGCTAACTAATCGGTGAGCTCCAAGCTTCAGAGGTAGTCGGTGCAAAGTTGAACATGAGCAGGGCGAAGCGCTTACAACGTCGGTTGTCGTGGAAACCTCAAATAGCATTAACAGCGAGACGTTTACTCAAAAAAAGAAAAAAATCGAATAATTTTTATAGGTTCGTTACAAACCACACGATCAAGGCAACGCATGCACTGGGTTGATATATAAACAACTTACCCTACAGACGCAAAAAAAAACGCCTATGCTAGGCGCCGGGATGCTAAGAGACGCCTCTTTTCCTCTTAAATTGTCGCCCTGTTGACCTGTTTATCTGAGCTCCGGACCCACGGGAATACCCCAGCTGCTGTCTGTCATCCTCCTACCCCACTACCAAACTCTGTCGGCTACTTAGCGGCCGCAACTTGTGGCCAACTTTGTGCCGGTGGCGGCGGTCCACTGAGCTGGCGAGCACCGCTCGCCACTGCGCCGACACACCCCAACAGGTCGGCGGACATTATGTGCCGTCGGCGGCCATTTGAGGCAATCAGTCGACCCGGAGTGGCTCCAAGTCCTGATTCGGAGGGCCCCGCACGAGTTACGACGCGTGCGTCAAGGACATTTGTTCGGTCCATGGTCCATGGACAGGGCAGACGTGTCGAGGTCAGGATACGTCGAGAGGTCAATGAAGGTTTTGGGGTCTGGTTTAGTATCGAACTTTGGTATATTGGAGAGGGAAGTTGATTGGAAAGGAAACAGACAAGTACAACAGGTCTATAAAAGGCTTGTTGCGCAGCGTGTGCAATGCCAGCCATGTGTATGTAATATGTATGTATGTATGTATGTATGTATTGACGATCAAGAGCAATCCACAATCGGCGTGGCGATTACACTCCGAGTCCGAGCTGGTTGAAGATAACACAAGAAATACCTACACAAGAAAACGCACACACTTACGGATACGAAAATGCACAACGCGAACGCCGAGCACGCACATACTTGGTGTAACCCGCACGAAGCCGCGTTCATAACTATACACACAGACTCGTTTGCCTTTCATAGTCCAAGAGTCATGAGGCTAGCTACTATGGCTACTCTGGCTAGGCTTAAGCCCCTTTTTTACAGCACGGGCAAATCTGGCTGGAGGCAACTGCGTTAGCTCGAGGGGGAGAGTATTTAGGAGCGCCGCGGCACGGTAGGCGAATCTACGTTTTCCGGTCTCTACTGTTAACGCCAGATCCCTTGAGACCCTAATTTTTCGCGATTATTTTTAAATGCGTGGAGGAATTTCAACCAAGCTCAGGACATGGCCGTTTCAAGACAGGCCGAAACTTTTACAATTTAGATATTTTATCGCCATTTCAATATTTCAGGCACTTGTCATTGACTCGTAATCTACTATACTATTTGTGAAATGAAACTCTGTCTGTCTGTCTGTTTGCATCGTGCAGAGGGGTGCTTTGACGCCGTGCACAGGTCAAACGGTGCACGGTCGATGGGGCTGAAATTTTCACAGCGTGTTGATGACGTCACGGGCACGTGCAGTGGCGTGTTTCGGGTCTCGGGGGGTGGATGGTTTGCACGTGGCACGCGCTGGAAAAAGGTGCATTTCTTCACAAATTTGCTCAGTCTTCAAGGCATCGGCAGCCGGGTTTGATGGACTTTGCAACTAAAATGCATGACGATCTGCGGCGGGTGCCTCTCATTTGCAGATTGGCCAAGTCCAAGTTATTTATTTTGATAAACAGAGGCGAATGAAGGTGTTGATTTTCGGTAAATAAAGACAGTTTTCAATGCGCTTAACCGAATGCACCGCGTTTGCCGCAGTGCGCCACATTTGTCCACATGCGCTATTTTTGCCGCAAATCGCACAATTTTGTCAAATATGGTCCGATAAAGGTGCAATTCGGTGGAAGGATGCATGACAAAATGACAGGTACAAATGCGCCACGTTTGTCGCAACGCGCCACATTCGTCACAAGGCGCTATTTCCACCAAATATGATTAAGAATAATGGAATTACACGAGTAGGAGCACGGTTAGGAACTCTTTTTTTTAGCTGATCAGTTTATCTGATGGTCTGTGACCTCACATGACCCAGTGGTAGTGGTAGTGGTAGTGGTAGTGGTAGTGGTAGTGGTAGTGGTAGTGGTAGTAGTATTGGTAGGAGTATTGGTAGGAGTAGCGCTAGGGGTAGTGGTAGTATTAGGGGTAGTGGTAGGGTAGTGTTAGGGGTAGTAGTATGGGTAGTGGTAGGGGTAGTGGTAGGGGTAGTGGTAGGGGTAGTAGTAGGGTAGTGGTAGGGGTAGTGGTAGGGGTAGTAGTAGTGGTAGGGGTAGTAGTACGGGTAGGGGTAGGGGTAGGGGTAGGGGTAGTGGTAGGAGTAGTGGTAGTGGTAGGGGTAGGGGTAGTGGTAGGGGTAGTGGTAGGAGTAGTGGTATGGGTAGAAGTAGAATAAGTGTGATACAGACCGATCCAATGTGACGTGTTGACCTATACGACCTGGCCTGACCGAAGGGGACCTGGCCTGACCCAGTGTGACCAGGGATGGCCAAGTTGACCTGACTTGACCCCATATGACCCAAATTTCATCCAACTAAGTTATTATGTTCAAAATTTTCCTCTGCACGTTTCCGTCCATATCTCTGCTTACAGACAACTGATCAATTCAAATCAAACACCATTCGAAAGCAAATTGGCTGCTGCCGCATTTTATGGCTACGCCGCGAAGCAAGTGGCGCAGCCGCTTGTCTACTATACTATTTGTGAAATGAAACTCTGTCTGTGTGTCTGTTTGCACCGTGCAGAGGGGTGCTTTGACGTCGTGCACAGGCCAAACGGTGCGGTCGATGGGGCTGAAATTTTCGTAGGGTGTTGATGACGTCACGCGCACGTGCAGTGTCGAGGTCCGAATGTCGGGGGATGGATGGTTCGCACGTGGCACGCCCTGGAAAAGTGCGTATTTCCTCACAAATTTGCTCGGTCTTCAAGGCATCGGCAGCTGAGTTCAATGCACTTTGCAACTAAAATGCATGACGATCGGCGGCGGGTGCCTCTCATTTGCAGATTGGCAAGTTATTTATTTTGATAAACAGAGGCGAATGAAGGTGTTGATTTTCGTTAAATAAAGACAGTTTTCAATGCACTTAACCGAATGCACCACGTTTGCCATAATGCGTCACATTTGTCTCAAGGCGTCATTTTTGCCGCTAACCGCAAAACTTTGTCAAATATGGTCCGATAAAGGTGCAATTCGGTGGAAGGATGCATGACAAAACGACAATTAAAAATGCACCACTTTTGTCGTAATGCGCCACATTTGTCACAAAGCGACATTTCCACCAAATATGATCAAGAATAGTGGAGCGACAAGATTAGGAGCAAGGCTAGGAACACTTCTTTAGTTTATCAGTTTATCTGATAGTCTGTGACCTCAGATGACCCAGTGGTAGTGGTAGGTGTAGTGGTAGTAGTATTGGTAGGAGTAGCGGTAGGGGTAGTGGTAGTATTAGGGGTAAGGGTAGTGGTAGGGGTAGTGTTAGGGGTAGTGTTAGGGGTAGTGGTAGGGGTAGTGGTAGGGGTAGTAGTAGGGGTAGTGGTAGGGGTAGTGGTAGGGGTAGTAGTAGTGGTAGGGGTAGTAGTAGGGGTAGTGGTAGGGGGAGTGGTAGGGGTAGGGGTAGTGGTAGTGGTGGGGGTAGTGTTTGGGGTAGTGGTAGGGGTAGTGATAGGAGTAGTGGTAGGGGTAGTGGTAGTGGTAGGGGTAGTGTTAGGGGTAGTGGTAAGGGTAGTGGTAGGAGTAGTGGTAGGGGTAGTGGTAGGGGTAGTGGTAGGGGTAGTGGTAGTGGTAGGGGTAGGGGTAGTGGTAGGAGTAGTTGTATGGGTAGAAGTAGTAGCAGTGTAGTACAGGTCGATCCAATGTGACGTGGTAACCTATACGACATGGCCTGACCGAAGGTGACCTGGCCTGACCCACTGTGACCAGGGATGACCAGCTTGACCTGACTTGACCCCGTATGACCCAAATTTCATCCAACTAAGCCCTCAGAATAGTTATCCTGTTCAAATTTTCCTCTGCACGTTTCCGTCCATATCTCTGCTTCCAGACGACAGGTCAATTTAAATCAAACACCATTCGAAAGCAAATTGGCTGCTGCCGCATTTTCTGGCTACGCCGCGAAGCAAGTGGCGCAGCCGCTTGTCTACTATACTATTTGTGAAATGAAACTCTGTCTGTCTGTCTGTTTGCACCGTGCAGAGGGGTGCTTTGACGCCGTGCACAGGTCAAACGGTGCGTTGGATGGGGCTGAAATTTTCGCAGGGTGTTGATGACGTCACGCGCACGTGCAGTGTCGAGGCTCGAGTCCCGGGGGTGGATGGTTCGCACGTGGCACGCGCTGGAAAAAGGTGCATTTTCTCCAAATTTGCTCGGTCTTCAAGACATCGGCAGCCGGGTTTGATGAACTTTACAACTAAAATGCATGACGATCGGCGGCGGGTGCCTCTCATTTGCAGATTGGCAGCTTATTTATTTTGATAAACAGAGGCGAATGAAGGTGTTGATCTTCGGTAAATAAAGACAGTTTTCAATGCGCTTACACAAATGCACCGCGTTTGCCGTAGTGCGCCACATTTGTCACGAGGTGCCATTTTTGCCGCAAATCGCACAACTTTGTCAAATATGGTCCGATAAAGGTGCAATTCGGTGGAAGGATGCATGACAAAACGACAAGTACAAATGCACCGCTTTTGTCGCAATGCGTCACATTTGTCACAAGGCGCCATTTCCACCAAAAACGATTAAGAATAATGGAATAACACGAGTAGGAGCATGGTTAGAAACCCCTTTTTTAGTTTATCAGTTTATCTGATAGTCTGTGACCTCACATGACCCAGTGGTAGTGGTAGGTGTAATGGTAGTGGTAGTAGTAGTGGTAGGAGTAGCGGTAGGGGTAGTGGTAGTGGTAGGGGTAGTTATAGAGGTAGGGGTAGTAGTAGGGGTAGTGGTAGGGGTAGTAGTAGGGGTAGTCGTAGGGGTAGTGGTAGTGGTAGGGGTAGTGGTAGGGGTAGGGGTAGTGGTAGGGGTAGTGGTAGTCGTAGGGGTAGTAGTAGGGGTAGTAGTAGGAGTAGTAGTAGGGGTAGTGGTAGGGGTAGTGGTAGGGGTAGTAGTAGGGGTAGGAGTAGCGGTAGGGGTAATGGTAGGGGTAGGGGTAGTAGTAGGGGTAGTGGTAGAGGTAGGGGTAGGGGTAATGGTAGGGGTAGAAGTAGGAGTAGGGGTAGTGGTAGGGGTAGGGGTAGGGGTAGTAGTAGGGGTAGTGGTAGGAGTAGTGGTATTGGTGGAAGTAGTAGAAGTGTGGTACAGGCCGATCCGATGTGACGTGGTGACCTATACGACCTGGCCTGACCGAAGGTGACCTGGCCTGACCCAGTGTGACCAAAGATGATCACCTTGACCTGACTTGACCCCGTATGACCCAAGTTTCATCCAACTAAGCCCTCAGAATAGTTCTTATGTTCAAAATTTTCCTCTGCACGTTTCCGTCCATATCTCTGCTTTCAGACGACAGATCAATTTAAATCAAACACCATTCGAAAGCAAATTGGCTGCTCCCACATTTTATGGCTACGCCGCGAAGCAAGTGGCGCAGCCGCTTGTCTACTATACTATTTGTGAAATGAAACTCTGTCTGTCTGTGTGTTTGCACCGTGCAGAGGGGTGCTTTGACGCCGTGCACAGGCCAAACGGTGCGGTCGAGGGGGGTGAAATTTTCGCAACGTGTTGATGACGTCACGCGCACGTGCAGTGTCAAGGTTCGAGTCTCGGGGGGTGGATGGTTCGCACGTGGCACGCCCTGGAAAAGTGCGTATTTTCTCAGAATTTTCTTCGGTTCTCAAGCCGGCTTCAAGGCATCGGCAGACGGGTTTGATGAACTTTGCAACTAAAATGCATGACGATCGGCAGCGGGTGCCTCTCATTTGCGGATTGGCAGCTTATTTATTTTGATAAACAGAAGCGAATGAAGGTGTTGATTTTCGGTAAATAAAGACAGTTTTCAATGCGCTTACACAAATGCACCGCGTTTGACGCAATGCGCCACATTTGTCTAAAGCCCCATTTTTGCCGCAAATTGCACAGTTTTGTCAAATATAGTCCGATAAAGGTGCAATTCGGTGGAAGGAAGCATGGCAAAACGACAAGTACAAATGCGCACTGAGAAAAAAATTGACTCCATATGGGTCAAAACTCTTGAAAATGCTCCCCTGAAAACTCCTGAAAACCATCGATAACACCCTTTCCAGCAGAGTTATTGAGTGTGTTCTAGGGTAACTTTGAGCCTTCCTCATTTTGCGAAAGAGTTTTCAAGAGTTCTCAATGGATGGCGAAATGACTCCATGTGTGACACCCCATAACTCTGTGACGCAACTCTCCATTACTCCCGAAAAACCTTTCCCGAACGTTCCGACAGGAGTAAAAGGGGAGTTACGAAGGGGTTTTAGCATGCGTCGCGAGGCTGCCGCGGCCGCCATCTTTTGCGCGTAGTATACAGCACGTTGTGCCGGGCGGCGGGCGAGGTGTTAGTGAAGAGCGTGTTGACTTAGACGGACCTGACCTATACAGTGACGGATAATTGGACCTTACTTTGGATTGAAAGGTAAGCTTAGCTGTATTTCTCATCATGCTTTTATAGTGCAAAGTGTTATAATGCTGTGATGAGAACATATGGTAACCCCATGTTCTTGATGGGCTGGAATGGTCTGTAAGGGTAATCGATTTGTTTCGTTCCTGAGTGAGATAAAGATCGGAAACAGCATGCTCTGAGTTTCTACATATTGGCAAATATCATACATTTTTTCCCTCGAATAAATTTGAAAGTTAGGGTTATACAAGCTTTACACGTCATGGATCCTATTGTTATTGCCCAATTGTTTTAATACCCATGTCAATGACAAATATCAAATTTGAAGGGCTTTCAAAGCAGAGTCAGAAAATTAAACTATCTTGGCATAAAAGCCTTGATTTTCCTAGCCCCTATATATAAAAAATCAGTTACCTACCACTGCCACTGTCCAATGGGGAAAACCACCGACAAACCAGCATGTTTAAATAAATTTTGTCTAAATTGTTGTATTTTTTTTAGAAAGTATCCATAAATGAAGTTCGTTCTTTAATGTTAACATGGGTACGTATGCAGCGTGTAACGCGTCCTTAGCTTATTTTTAGCGACCTGCTCAACTTTTTGAGCGCTCAAGTACCTACGTTTTATAGCATTTCCCTAATGTGTCTGCAACTAAGATGGAGGCTGTTAACTTGCCCTTTAGACTTTCACTGAAACTTAACTTTATCAAAATTGTAGTGCATAAAAAGTATGCTAACTTTGCAATCTCTTGCTTTCATTATTTTGACATAATGTGCGGAAATGCAGTATCAGTGCCAACATGTCAGGTCGCGTGTGTCTCGTCTCGTCCATCTTGTCTCATCTGCCTACCTCTCAGTCTCCTCCCTCATTTCTTCCTTCCATCTTTCCTCGCTTCCTTCCTAACTTCCTCCTTCCCCTCCCCTCTCTCTCTCCCTTTCTTTCTCCCTCTCTCCCTCCTCCCTCCCTCCCTCCCTCCCTTCCTTCCTTCCTTCCTTCCTTCCTTCCTTCCTTCCTTCCCTCCCTCCTTCATTATTTCCCTCCTTCTCTTTTTTTCTTTCTCCTCTATTTCCTCCCACGCAATGGTAAGTGTAGGTACCTATAATTTCATGGTGATTAACATTTTTCAGGGGATGAGCTGGAGAGCCTGCATCGCATCCCGCAAGACACGTCGGAAGCCAACGGAGGCCCGCAAAATATCCATCCCACCATCGTGAAAGGAGAGCCGGACGAAGAAGACGCAGTATTCGTCGAGGCCCAGGAGGTGGTAGCGGCACCACCAGACCAAGCATTCCTGCTGTGGTAGGCCGCCTTTTGGATTTTTAACGTCAAAACTCGCGACCGTGTAGCATAGGTATGGAGTGAGATCCCCGGAGAGCGTGCCGCGGCGGGATGTCGAAAGCGTTTGTCAATTTTTGAAGCCTCCCACCGCCCCGGACTATGAATACACATTTCTTGAAATATATTTTTTATCTGTGCTTCGGTACACGAGCTTTGGGTGGTTACGCTATTCGTCCAATATTTATTTTCGAGGGGGGGGGGTGACTGGAGTGAAGTGATGGGAAGTTTGGGCGAGTTTGATGGGGAGTAACTGTAGAGGTATACCATGAAGCTGTAAACGGAGTTTTGGGGAATAATGGAATGGAGTAATTGGGAGTAATTATGAGGCAGTAAGAGAGTCATTGAGAGTAATGGAAGGGAGTTTCAGGGAGTATGTTGTTTGTGTTGATAGGGTAAAGGAGAGAAATGAAGAGTTTTCTAGAACGGTAGGGAGAGTTGCAGAGAGTTTCTCGAGGGAAGTTTTGGGGTGTAATGGAGAGTTTTGGAGGGGGTGTAATGAGGAGTACCACCTGGGAGTTTTAGGGTGTCGTTTTGGTGAACTCCCCTTGGGGGTGTCATGCGGAGTCAGGATTTTTCTCAGTGCGCCACTTCTGTCGCAATGCGCCACATTTGTCACAAGTCGCCATTTCCACCAAATACGATAAATGATATTGGAATGACACGAGTAGGAGCAGGGTTAGGAACCCCTTTTTTAGTTTATCAGTTTATCTGATAGTCTGTGACCTCACATGACCCAGTGGTAGTGGTAGGTGTAGTGGTAGTGGTAGTGGTAGTAGTAGTGGTAAGAGTAGCGGTAGGGGTAGTGGTACTGGTAGGGGTAGTAATAGGGGTAGTGGTAGGGGTAGTAGTAGGGGTAGTGGTAGGTGTAGTGTTAGGAGTAGTAGTAGGGTTAGTGGTAGGGGTAGTGGTAGGGGTAGTAGTACCTAGGGGACAGGGGTAGTCGTAGGGGTAGGGGTAGTGGTAGGGGTAGGGGTAGGGGTAGGAGTAGAGGTAGTGGTAGGAGTAGTGGTATATGTAGTGGTAGGGGTAGTGGTAGGGTTAGGGGAAGTGGTAGTGGTAGTGGTAGGGGTAGGGGTAGTGGTAGTTGTTGTGATACGGGCCCGTACCCCCCTCCGTTTGTGATACGGGCCCGTCCACGTGTTCGTCCCGTTTTCGGTCGCGGTCGCCGGTCGCTTGTCCGCCGCCGCCGCCCCGGGTCAGGCCGCGGGCGGTCGGCAGCGTGGTTGATGTCGGGTGTTTTCGTCTGTTCCGCCGGCCAGTCGGTTTTGGGCGGCGGAACTGGGTGTGTCTCTTGAAGTGGTCAAGTCCCGTTACAATATAGAGTCAAGCAAGAGAACTGGAGTGTCACGGCGGAGGTCGGCAGAGCAGCGAGTGCTGAGGATACAACAAATTGGCGACGAGGGACGTGGTATACCCCATTTTCTGTTTTTATTGTTGTATGCCTTTGCATGGTCTGACTCAAGTGATTGTCGATAAATCAAGTTTGCTATAGCAAGTGCAATGTATTGATGTTTACTGTTGCCTGCCATTCAAGTAAAGTCCGTTGAAGCCAGGAGTAATTTTATCGACATGTCTTCTCTGCCTGTGCCGCCACCATATCAGCCCGGAGAAAATTTTGATCGTTGGTTGCGCGGTGTGGAGTATTATATGATTGCATCTGGCATTACTTCTAATCAAAGAAAAAGTGCCACTGTTCTCACCCTTCTCGGACTTGAAATTCAAGACGTTGTTCGCACATTGCCGCAGCCTCCGGAACTGGATGACGCCGCCACAGAGTACCAAGTCCTCACCGCCAAGCTTCAGGCGTACTACCAGCCACGAGTCAACGCGACGTATGAGAGGTCTGTTCTTCATGACATCTACAGAAAAGACGGTGAGTCATTCGAGGCATTTGTCACCCGTCTCCGTCTTCAGGCAGACAGATGCCAGTTTGACTATGTTCTGTTGGAGCAAACTGTTCTTCAGTGTGCTGTAGCTCACGCCAGGTCCACTGAGCTGCAGAGGAAATTTTTTGATAAACCTGACTTGACTCTGGCACAAGCCCTCGAAATAGCTCGTCACTTTGAAACCACTCGCTCTCAGCTAGAGGATTTGAACCGATCGACTGCAGCTGTACAGTATGTGACCGCGCCGTGCCATCGCTGTCTCTCCACGACTCATGATGCTTCAGCATGTCCGTATCGCACACGAGAATGTTTCGCTTGTCACCGTGTGGGCCATTCGCGTGCTGCATGCCCCCAGCGAGCCCGTCAAGCCGAGCCAAGCCGGAGGAGAGGACAGTCTCGAGCGCCGTCAGCTTCAGCATCGTCTCCAGCATCGCGACCTCTCCAGGGGACAGCACAGTCAGGAAACCAGTCCTGCTCTCGCTGTCTCAGCCGCCGTCATGGTCAGGACGTCTGCCCGTTCCGTGACCAGATCTGTTACAGATGCCAGAGGCCGGGTCACACGCGTGTCGCCTGCCAGAACCGCCCAGCTCAGAGCAGCCAGCGCCCGGCTCAGCCTCAGCCCGCCGCCAGCCTACCGTCGCGCCAGCGCCGCGCCCATTACGTCTCTGGTAGCAGCCCTCCCGCCACAGAGGTGTCTGCTGATCTTCTGTTCACGGTGAGGTCATCTGGATCTGTTCAACCACTGCATGTTGAAGTGTCCCTGAACGGTAGCCCCGTTACAATGGAGGTGGACACTGGTGCCAGCTGTTCCATGATGAGCCGTGCAGTGTTTGAGAAAGCGTTTCTCCAGTCGGTCCCAGATCTAGCGCCCTACCGTCGCCGTCTGTACACCTACACAGGTGAAGAGGTCCCTGTAGCTGGTGTAGCTCAAGTTGTTGTCGCCTATCGTGACCAGTCAGCCCGTCTGCCCCTCATCATTGTTGACAATGACGGTCCTACCTTGATGGGTCGGGACTGGTTGGCCACGATCAGGCTGGACTGGCCAGCACTGTTTGGCGGCGCCGCACGTGTTGACTATGTTGCAGTCCCTGGCCTGGATCTGGAGAACGAGCTACGGAAGCTCGTGCCGACGTTCCCGGAGCTGTTCAGCCCTGGTCTCGGCAAGTACACGCCCAGACAAGTATCGCTGCAGGTGGACGACAGCAAGCCGCGCTTCTACAAGCACCGCCCACCACCTTTGGCTCTGAAAGGTCAGATTGAGGAGGAGTTAGAAAGGCAAGTCAAGTTGGGCATCCTCGAACCTGTCACCACATCCCAGTGGGCCGCGCCCATTGTTCCGGTTAAGAAGAGGGATGGGTCCATCAGGCTGTGTGGCAGCTACGACCTGACTGTAAATGTCGCTTCTGCCCTGGAAACGTATCCGTTGCCTCGGGTGGAGGAGTTGTTTGCTGTGCTGTCTGGTGGTGCAAAGTTTACCAAAATTGATCTCAAGGAGGCATACTTGCAGCTCGAATTGGATGAGCAGAGCCGCAAGTTCACCACGGTCAGTACGCACAAAGGTCTGTTCCAGGCTACGCGGCTGGTCTTCGGAATCAAGTCCGCGGTAGCCGTGTTCCAGAGGGAGATGGAGAACCTGCTGGCCGGCATTCCGCATACCGCCATCTACCTGGACGACATCTGCGTAACCGGACGCACTCCCGCAGAGCATCTTGCGAACGTCCGTGAGGTTTTGAGACGTCTCGCCGCCGCTGGTCTCAAGATCAACGCTGAGAAAACGGTCTGGGTAGCAGACGAAGTGCAGTATCTGGGCCACCGGATCACAGCCGCCGGCATCAGACCGTCCGCTGAGAAGGTACGTGCCGTCTCGGAAGCCCGAGAACCAGCGTCCCTGCAGGAGCTGCGCGCATTCCTGGGTCTGGTGCAGTATTATAGCCGCTTCCTTCCCCGCCTGTCTACTGTCGCCGCACCGATGTACGAGCTAGAGAAGAAAGATGTGAAATGGGCTTGGGGAGAGAGGCAAAAGGTTTCGTTTCAGGAGACGAAGGACCTGCTCGCTGTCGCTCCAGTGCTGGTGCACTACCAGCAAGCCAAGCCGCTCGTCCTCACGGCAGATGCCAGCCCGTACGGAGTAGCCGCCGTGCTCAGCCATCCGGATCCGCAGACTGGTGCGGACCAGCCCATCGCCTTCGCGAGCCGCAGTCTGACGCCAGCCGAGCGCAACTACAGCCAGCTCGACCGTGAGGCGCTCGCGATCATCTTCGGGGTGAGCAAGTATCATCAGTATGTATATGGTCGGAAGTTTGTGATTAAGACTGACCATAAGCCGCTGTTGGGCCTGCTAGCACCTGGTAAATGTCTGCCAATGGTTGTCTCGCCCAGGGTGTTACGATGGAAGCTCACGCTGACTGGGTATGACTTCGACCTGCAGTTTGTACCGGGTCGAGAGATCGCCAACGCGGATGGGCTCAGTCGCCTGCCGCTTCCAGACACGGATGGAGAGTTTCCCGTTCCGGCCGACGTCGTGAACCTGATGGAGGAGATGTCCCACCTGGTGACTGCTCAGCAGCTCGCCATCGCCACCCGCCGCGATCCGGTGCTGTCAGCCGTCTACCGGTACGTTCAGAATGGCTGGCCAGAGTCACCGCCGGATGCAGAGCTGTCCCACTACTTCCGCAGAAGAAGTGAGTTAAGTCTAGAGGCGGGGTGCGTGATGTGGGGTTGCCGTGTGCTCATCCCACCCTCTCTGAGAGCCAGACTGATGTTGATGCTTCATGACGGTCACCCGGGCACCTCGGCTATGAAACGTGTGTCGCGAGCCTGTGTGTGGTGGCCTGGGCTAGACAGCGAGATTGAACAGCTAGTCAAGTCATGTCAGCAGTGTCAAGCTCACAGGAGTGTCCCAAATGTGCCCGCCTCACCGTGGTTGTTTCCCAACAGGCCCTGGCAGCGTCTGCATATAGACTACGCGGGTCCGATGGAGGGCGGTCACTGGTTGCTGATCATAGTCGACAGCTACTCCAAGTGGGTCGACGTGCACATCACCACGTCGACGTCGGCGGCAGTGACGATCGACAGACTCCGCCAGACGTTCGCCTGCCACGGCCTGCCACTGGTGCTCGTGTCGGACAACGCCACTGCCTTCGCGTCGTCAGAGTTTAGTGCCTTCTTGAAAGGCCCCGGCGCCCCATGGGTGCCAGGCGTCGTCACCGCTGCTGGCGGACAGATCTGCACCGTTCAACTGGCCGATGGACGGATCTTCACGCGCCACCGGGACCACGTCCGGCCTCGCGTGTGCGCGCTGCCGTCCCTCGTGCCGGGTCAGGCCGACCCGGCACAGCCTGTTCCGGAGACTACCACGCCGGCTCACTCTGCTCGCGCACCGAGCGCGCTGGAGGCGCTCTGTGCTGGCGCGCCGGCGGCACAGGACGCGTCCTCTCCGGCGACAGCTACATCGGAGGTGCACCCCGCTCTGCTGCCCGAGTCGGTGGCAGCTGCGCCGGCTCCTCCGGGGGTGCCCTCTGGGTCAGCACCTGTCGTCCCGCCTGGGGGTGCTGTCGGGACCCGTCGTTCCACGCGCGTGCGTCGGGCGCCCTCGCGTTACAGCGCGTCGTGATTGCTGACTTGTGTTCTAAAGGTGGAGGATTGTTGTGATACGGGCCCGTACCCCCCTCCGTTTGTGATACGGGCCCGTCCACGTGTTCGTCCCGTTTTCGGTCGCGGTCGCCGGTCGCTTGTCCGCCGCCGCCGCCCCGGGTCAGGCCGCGGGCGGTCGGCAGCGTGGTTGATGTCGGGTGTTTTCGTCTGTTCCGCCGGCCAGTCGGTTTTGGGCGGCGGAACTGGGTGTGTCTCTTGAAGTGGTCAAGTCCCGTTACAATATAGAGTCAAGCAAGAGAACTGGAGTGTCACGGCGGAGGTCGGCAGAGCAGCGAGTGCTGAGGATACAACAGTAGTGGTGGAGGCAAAAGTAGAAGTGTGGTCCAGGCTGAACCCATGTAACAGGAGGTGACCTATGTGACTTGACCTGACCCAATGTGACCGGGGTTGACCCTATGGACCCGTCTTGAGCCCGTGTCACCCAAATTTCACCCAACAAAGCCCTCAGAACAGTTCTTTTTTCAAAATTTTCCTCTACACGTTTTCCTCTATATCTATGCTTCCAGACGACTAATCGGTATGAATCAAACAACATTCGAAAGCAAATTGGCTGCTGCGCATTTTATGGCTACGCCGCGAAGCAAGTGGCGCAGCCGCTTGTCTATATTACTATTTGAGGAAGGCGTAGTTTCTGTCTATTACGAAGGTCGCGACATGGTGCTACGTAGCGCGGGTTACAGGTCACACCGTTGCACCTACCGCGCTGAAATTTGCGCAAGTTATAGAACAAGGATGGACAACGTGCCTTTGAGCGGTCTCGGCTCGATCGGATCGATAGCGAGCGCGTGGCGCGTGCCCAAAAAGTGCAAATTCGCGTCATAGACTTTACATGTATAAATCGGCTGGCAAAAACGGGCGAAAATGGCTAAATTTGCCCGACACGGGTCCGTTCCCCGTGCAATATCTCGGTAGCCGTGCGCCCGATCGGCACGGGGAAAACAGCATCGTGTAGAGAATCGAACGGGCAATCGAATAGTGTGCGGTGCAGGGGTGGCACGCGCCACGTGCAAGTGTGAGGGCAATTTCATTTCAAAAAGTGCCATTTTAGACTATTTTGGATTTTATTTTATTTTCCCGTGACCATCAGACTGAGAGAGTTGAAACAACGTCAATTGCCAAGAGAAATGTACCGCCTCTCATGGAAAAATTGTGGACAGCTAATTGATCAAAAACAATGTGGAAAAATCGCTGAATTAAAATGGTATTTGTCCACAATGTGCCACTAAAAAGATACACGGGATTTGCTGCTTAACCTGATACGCTTGACAATTGAAAATGCTATCATTAGAAAGAGCATTCAATTCTCTCCAAGATCCAATCATCACGTTTGCATGACAAGCAACAGTATTCTTAAAAACATAAAAGTTTTAAACCTCTGCAAAACGATTTTTAGCGAAAATTATCTACGCCTTTCATTTGTCTTAAAACTACGCACCTCAATTATAAAGCACATTTGACAGATTCTGAAGTGGAAAGCATGCTTATCAGACACGGGCACCTCGATGCGGTGGATATTTATTCCACAAACCAAAACGTTTAGCCGTCAAAAAGCAATCGACCGAAATGGATAGATAACCCAACCGACACAAGAACAACCGAACACCCGCCGATCGAAAATATCCCTTTTCGCGTTGCGGAGCACGCGGGTCACCCTAGTGTTAACTGTTTTTCCATCCTGGATGGAGGCTTTCTACGTCATATGACATTAGGCTCCGCCCACGACTGCGGCATTGACCCGTGCCCATCAGCGACCTCTGTACAAACGACACCCCTGCCATCTGTGAAGGACTATGAATTTCGCTGACGCTTCACGTGCGTCAATTGCAGCAGACGGTCAAGTAAATGTTAGGCTCTTGTTGACTATTGTATATAGGACCAAGAGGACCATCACTCCTCAACCTACTACTCAGTCGTGCTTCGAACAAACGTTAACGATTCCTAACAAATACGATTTTCGATGTAGGGTAGGTATCTGTTTGAAATACGAGCGAGCCGTATGATGTGAAGCTCAGGCAATTAACTTATTATTGCGTTGTTCGATGGTTGCATAGCGATGTACAAATCGGCAGCTACTTGGTGACATCCGACATCCCATTATCGCATTATCTGCAACGCCATAGGCTTTAAATACAGGTGAATATTTCCTAACCTTATGTCAGTTATATGCCATCTGCCCGTCATATGCAGCTTATAAAAAAAGAAATATATCAGCGAACATATCAGCATTGTAGAAGCAATGCGCATTGAGCATTTATGACTCCTTAGTCATCATGTCGCTCTCTGGGCACTGTCAGCCAAGACGCTACGCACAACTCCGCCGGCTTTCGGCACCGCTCGACCGTCGCCCGTCCCCGCTCCCCGCCACAGCGAGAGTGACCGCGCGCCGGCCCGAAACCGCCGCAGGCCAAGACCACAGAGGCGGGGCTTAGCTGTGACGTCATAACGTATCACAGACTGACTGGTGATAGCCTCTACACACCGGATGAAAATCTTGCTCGAAATTTAACATTACGAGTCAATGACAAGTGCCTGAAATATTGAAATGGCGATAAAATATCTAAATTGTAAAAGTTTCGGCCTGTCTTGAAACGGCCATGTCCTGAGCTTGGTTGAAATTCCTTCACGCATTTAAAAGTAATCGCGAAAAATTAGGGTCTCAAGGGGTCTGGCGTTAACAGTAGTCGGGGTCGCGGTAAGTGGAAAAGGTGGTCTTGGCGAGTAGACCTTGCTCGTGTTTGGGAATTTTTGGAAAATAGGGTCGCAATCTCCTCGGGTTCACCTCTCTGGATGGCCTTGTGCGCCGTGATAAGGGTATGGTATTCAGCCATTGTTTTAGGTGCCATCCAGCCGAGTTGGTCCCGGAGATGGGAGACATGATCAAATTTACGGCGACCGAAAATGACTCTAGCGGCAAAGTTAAGAATTCTCTGAATGCGATCGAAGTTCTTTTGGCTACCATTACCGAATACGGAGAGACAGTACTGGATCCGTGACATGACGAGAGCCACCACTAGTGTCTTGGTGACACCGTCGGGGAGATAGTGGCGGACATGGGAGAGGCCAATTAGGAGACCCGTGCACCGGCGACTGAGCTCAGACACATGCGCGTCCCAGGACAGGGTGCCGTCGAAGATAACGCCCAGGTTGCCCACCTGCTTGCATGGCACTAGTTTGGTGTCGCGAAAAGAAACAGTGAAAGCAGGTATGCTTCTCAAATTTTGCCGACTGCCGAAAGCCATGAGCTGAGTTTTAGCAGTGTTTACTTTTAGAGCATTTGCACTGAACCAATGGTCGAGAGACGCCAGTGACGCTTCCAAGCGCGAGATGAGTCCTCTAAGGTCGTTTAAAGGGCCACTCACCAACAATTGAGTATCATCAGCGTACTGGAAGACTGTTGCATCCTCAGAATAAAGTGATAGATAGTGTCGACAGTCGAGTCGTCGCTCAATACCTCCGATTTCCGATCTCTTATCCCGTAGCTGGGTCATCAAAAATGCCGCCTAACCTACAACAATCAAGTCTAGCCGCTCCAGCTGTACTGTCATCTACTAAGGCTGCACGTCACTGAGCGCACTAGTATTCGGAATGCGTTAGGGTTCTCTAGCGATGACATGCTAGTATCCGCGCCCCACGCTGAATAGGAAAGGCTCCGGCGCAGCCGACAAACGAATACAATTGAAACCGACTGGCCGATGGGACGGCGACAGAAAATCTAATTGATATGTCAAGACGTATGCCAGCTATGTCGAGTTATGACAGGATGTGACTGTCATCGAGGAAACTTGGCGCGTCAGCTTAGGGCTAATATCCGATCACATTGATGCTGATCTCTATGCGATTATGCATTAGTGTGGTTTGTTCTTGGAATAAAACTCGCCGTTATTGAGGCTCAGCATACGCTTACAACGGATCGCGGTCAAGGCATGTTTCTGCGGATGCGAGATGTGTCTTCTACTCAAACGGACATGAATTTTGTTTTGATTATTTGTTTAAATAGGCGATTATTAGCACTAATGTTGTGATGACGTCAGCTGATGATGTTGCTATGGAGAATAGATTGCATTGACATCGAAGAAACACTGCCGGCCAAGCGACTGTCATACAAATGGTAACGGTACCTACATCCGCATGTTGCTTCAACAGATGCCAGGCAATAGCTAGAAAGCGACATTGGAAGAAAACATGCAGATGTCGTAAAACTAGAGATTGCAATATTTATTTGAAAGAGAGGGCCTGCACATGGTGCACGTATTTGATTACATAAGAATAAGCGCAGTGATGCTATCTGGAATAGGTATTGCATACTTGGCTACATATGAGAGTGCTTACAAATAAGCAAGCGCCTTCAAATATATGTCGTCAAACCTATCGAACAAAAATTCCACACCATTCTACGAACATGTATGTTCTATGCAAAACTTATATCTCTATGCAAAACCAGTACCTATACATCGCAACATCGCAGCAGCTCTGCAAGTGGGCTTGTGTTTACGTTTTTTTTTCCTCCCACGATGAGAAGATGTTCTGGCTTCATGATCCGAGAAGCCAGAACATCGGAGTATAGCAGATCCGACGTGGGCGATCCGATAATGCTTAATTCCACCTTCGCACTAACAACTCGCTTGAACGGAGAAAAACATCAATCAACAAGCTGAAAATGACAAATGTGCCGGCAAAAATTGTTGCAACTTGAATAGCCTATTGTCTGCAACATTTGTGCTTTTCGAACATGACATCAGCTACGGGACGATGATGTCATTTATCTCTGCAAGTCCGTTTATCAAAAATGTCATCAGCTGGCCGACTAGCTACTGATCTGTGCAGTTCTCATAAATTTGTTCCTAGATGTAGCCAATGTTGTCATTTATCGATTGCAGAATGCAATCAACAATCGTCTCCGCCACATATCGCTCAATACATGTATGTCCGATCAAAGCCTAAACCCTAATGCGCTGTATTGCACAATGCACATGAGCTAACCCCACGTGACTTCTCTCCCTCAGACGCCCCTGCCTGTCAGCCGGACCACGTGACTCACTACCCGGTCTCCCGCGGCGAGACGGTCAATATCACGTGTCGTGTGACGTCAGAACCGGCCCCGTTTCGGTTCGTTTGGGCGTTCAACACCTCAACAGGTGGGTTCGGTCCGTCGGGGCACTGTCTTTATTGGACCCCTCCGCTCGTCCCGTTCCGCTCCGCCGAATGTTTTGAGGAAGGTCTCTCAAGGAGAGTACAGATAGAGCCGGCAGAATGGGGCGACAGATCAGAAGAAGAATGAGTCAGCCCGCCGAAGGACGCGGGATCCAGGCGGGATCGACCCGTCCGGCCGGGATAATTCGCGGCCCTGTAATTTGCTAGATGGGCCATTGGACATGAGCCAGTTCGTGTATTGCAATTAGAGGCGGTCTCTAGACGAGGGGAATGAATTGGTCGGGGAGGAGAGAGAGAGGGGGGCTGGGGTTTATTATGGAGCTGACGCGGTGCGGACAGACCTCGCCCACTTTCACTGCTGTTTTATGTTGTAGTTAGTTAGCTTAGCTGTCTGCAGTAACTAACTAGAGCGCTATTTTCTTATTATCAAGATGAATGACAAAAACCTTGCCCTTTTACGACGGCCAGAGCAGCTCTTCTGATGCCAATCTGCCTATACTTCAGCAGACCCTGTGTGACAACGGACTATACCACCCACCATCCCCTTACCACCCCCTTCAAGGTCAACCTAACTCCCACCCGCTCTCGAAGACCTGGCCCCTCCCGCACACACTGACCCATCCCCGTCTCACCTACGTAAGACGGGACGTCAGCCTGTTTCCCGTTAGACTCCGACCTGCCCATGGCATTCACCCTCTGACGACCTGTCTCCGCTTTTAGGTAGCATGATTGACATCCCAGAGTCGAGCTGGTCGAGCGACGGTCACTGGAGTGTATGTCGCTACACTCCGCGCACGCGGCTGGACTACGGCCAGCTGCTGTGCTGGGCGGAGAACGACCTGGCCATGCAGAGTCGGCCGTGCGTCTTTAACATCACGCCAGCAGGTCAGTGAGGTCACGGAGGTCAGAGAGGTCACGGAGGTCAGAGATGTCGCAACCAGAGGTTAGGTTGTCATGCATGCCCAGATGGGTCACACTCACAGAGCTCAAAGAGGTCACGTACGCAGGTCACGTCGCAGGTCGTGACCACACTACATGTCAGAGAGGTCACGAAGGTCAGAGAGGTCACACCACAGGTCAGAGGTCAGAGGGTCGCGCATCTCAGGTCACGGAGGTCAGAGGTTACACCCAAATGTTAGGGGTCCCGCAGGTCAGAGGTCACACCAGCAAGTCAGAGAGGTCACGGAGGCCAGAGTGGTCACGGAGGTCACCTCCGACCTGCGAGGTCACACTCGCAGGCCAGAGGTCATAACCGCAGATCAGATACCAGATCAGATACCATATCCGCAGCGTGGTTACAAAGGTCATGTATGGGTAGTTCAGTCACGTTCTAGGTCAAAGAGGTTACATATACCTCACCAAGGCCACCTTAGTTCAGAGTCATAGCCCACAAGACAGCAATACCGGCGGGTCATGGAGGTCGAGTCCGTAGATCTGACTGTTAAATCCCGCAGTTATTAATGCAATCAATGTTCCGGAAGCAGAGTTCCCAATTACAATGTTTCTTGTGCCATGAGATCAAAACACCGTACCAGCAATGAGAATTCCATTTCGATGGCATTGCATGCAATCACCCCTTCTCCCCAGTAATGGCGGTCGCCGGGTACGTTTTCCTGCGCAGTTTTCTGCCGAGAAATGCGGTTGGCTGCTTTCTCTGGGGAGCTGGCCGGGCTCTAATTGAAGTCCGGTCGGTACCCGCAGATGGCACGCCCTGTGACCGCTGCTGTCACGCTCGGGCGAGTGGCCAAACAAATGGACCCCACCCGCCGACCGGGGCCCTACCCACTACCCAGACTCCAATCGAAGGAGCGAATGCGTGACCTAGTCCTGAGTGCTCGCCATTATTCGCAAACAAAGTGTGCATTATGCAGATGTGAAATTCGTGTGCCGTTGAGAATTCAGAGTTTACGCTGGCGCAACGCTAACTCTAAATGGTTTAATTCAAGGTGAATGTGCTACAAAACAGTGTAATGTGTTAATGGAGTGCCATTTGTTATTGTTCTGAGTTGTTCGACAATCGATCTGACCTATCTCGCACATTAACATCTACAATATGGGAATAATTGCATCGACATTTACATCACCTTCTTGTTAAATTATTTTATCAGTTACATACATATGTACATGGTGAAATATTTAAGGTGAGCTGTTCCCTGCGATATGTTACCTTTTTTCCTATTTGAGCATTGCTACGTAAGGATCATTTTTATTTTGAGTCGCTTTTTAGTCTTAACAAAGTCCTCTTCCCTGCTCCCCTGCCCCTCGTCTCACCGAACAATGAACAGTGAGCCGCGCCTTCAAAGCTCCCTGGAACCTGATCCACTCATTTCCCACTAACCCATCTCCCTCCCCTAACCTCACAACTCCCCATGTCTCGCCCACAGAGCGTCCGGAGGGTCTGAGCAACTGTTCGGTCGTGAACAGCACATCTCAGAGCCTGCAGGTCCACTGTGCGCCCGGCAAAGATGGCGGTCTGCGGCAGACCTTCTCACTGGAGGTACAGGATGCCGTCACGGAGGAACGAGTCACCGGCGTCAGCGACTCCGACCGGCCCAGGTACGGATGTGGTTATGTTGTTGTTGCTGCTGCTGTTGCTGCTCCTGTTGTTGTTATTGGATAGGGCGTCGCTCCATGGCAGACTCAAGACTGTGATGATGGTCTGAGTCCACTATCACATCACTTGTTTTCAGTCATTGGTTAACATAACTAGGTACTTGGTTCATTGACGCCTGAGAAGGCATTTAACCACCTTGCCCACGCAGTGATTAACCCGCGAGTTGCTGGGGGGGGGGGCGTTAAACGCCCCCACTTTTTTCGCCGGGACATAGCACAAAAACGGCGCGCCGCAGGCGCGCCAAATTTTGGGTACCTGTAGGGAATTGATTGAAGTTTATTGTGACAAAGTTTCAAAAAAATCGGTCGGAAAATTTTTGAGATATCGAGGTTTTAGTGACGTCATGATTTCTGAGTTTTCGACCAAAAACGGCATATGTTCAAAAAATCATATAAAATCACAGAATAGACATATAGACATGCCGTAAACGCTATTAGACTGCCAATACCATGGAGAATCAAATGGCTATCTTCGATTATTGATTATCGTTCCGCATTTTCCAAAATCTTGAACTGAATCTTGGCAATTTCTCGTGACTACTTCACGACCATGATACATGAATTTCTTAAATTGAACTTTTTTAGCCAAACACGTACACATATGATAAAATGAATGTCACCATCGTGTTCTACGCCCCAAATTACCCATAAAACATGTGTCACAGGCTGCGAATATCAGTGTTTATTTTCGGGGATATGTGCCTGCCCGGTTGACCTGACCTTGACCCTGACCTATGCTTGACTGACCCCTGCATGGAGCTGACACTCTTGTAGGCCTTATATGATGGATTGTGCACCGTTTTGACAGAGTTTATGACGAGAGGCGCCCATTGCGAAGTCCTGAAGTCCATGCTACTGAAAACCCGATTTCAGGTGTTTGACCTGACCTTGACCTGACCTGTGACCTCAAAATTCAACTTTAAAGTACTCATCTGAAGCGTCTCGTCGCGTTCTTTCGTTTGCCGCCTCGTGCGTTTCGCTGCGCCTATTGGTTCTCGAGTTATCGGCTGGGGGCGTTTAACGCCCCCCCCCCCCAGCAGACGGTGGGTGGCGAAATACCCCAGCAACTGCCGGGTTAAGTGACCATAATGGCGTGTCGGTGTGTTTCAACCACAAAGGCGAGATTAATGGCACGCATGCCGCTGCCGCTGCCGCTGAATAGACTGGCGGTATCGCCTGGTGTTCTCCTAGCTTCATACACCCTTCCCTTGTCTGGTGAATGCGTGGGTAGAGCAGAATTACCGTGTAACACCAGCAAACAGTAGCTTGTTAGGCGACTATTGTGGTATGCATAACAGACATACGCCTTTTGTCTCTATAACGATGCGCGCCTAGGCTGCAATCAGGGGTGATTAATGGGCGTCTTTATTTCATCGTTTTCAGCGACACAGCTTGTACGAGTGAAACGCTTGTTATTTACCCCGGAATACAAGATATGTGAGATATGGGGAGACAAACAAATGTTTAGCATGCCTTAGTCCACACTTCATTGCCCGGCTCGTTATTGTTGTCTATTAGCTCTTCGCAGTAGCCTGATTGTCAGACTGCTTGAGTGACCGATAATTACCTCAATAATTAGGTCTTGTTACGGTTACACTCACAATGCCTACATCTAACAGCCATACAATTCAAGAATGGTAAAATGTGCGATCATTTGACAGCTAATGATCTCAGTCTTTCCTAATACACAGTAGGATTTCCACGGAAATTTATATCCGATCCCCCCCCCCCCCTCTTTACAATGCGTTGTGGTGCTGCAGTGATTTCTGACGGACGGGAAAGCCTTACGTTTCACTTCTAAATGACGTTATGCCTCGTTTTCCCAGCGCCCGGCAGACTGTGCGCAGCGTATCAATCAACTCCCCACTGACCTCTCGCCTCTCGATGAAGGCGTTTTATATTTCCGCGTGTCTCTGACGGGGGCTGTTTGTTTCAGCTTCTCTCTGACGGGACTGAAGCCGGGCTCTCGGTACCGCCTTACTGTGTTCGCGTCTAACGCCAAGGGCCGCTCGGATCGGTACATCTCCTACGCACAGACGCCGGAGGAAGTGGCGCAGGGGATCACTGCTCCTGACACAGGTATGGGTCGGACCTGGGGTGTCCCGGGATGGGCCCCAGGGCACAGAGAGCGGGGGGGGGCAGAGAGCGAAGGGAGGGTTGATCGCCAAGAGGCCCGACGGGCAGACCGGCCTGTCAGGCCTCTCAGGGCTGGGTCAGATGTGTCGGCCGGGCCGGCCCGGCCTGTTAGGACTCTCAGGGCTGGGTCAGAGCCGGTCCGGCCCGTCAAGACTCTCAGGGCTGGGTCAGAGGTGTCGGGCGGGCCGGCCCGGCCTGTTAAAACTCTCAGGGCCGGGTCAGAGGTGTTACTGTTGGCGCCACTGTGGCAGCCGAGCCAGGATGTTTTGCCCATCGTATCGTCTGCGAACGCCAACCAGATGGGAGTCATGAGCCATCATTTACGGCGCTGCGATGGCTCAGCATCGGCCAACACCTGCAGTACCCATTACTGCCAGTAATAGCTATCACGAACTAGTAACGATGAATAATACGTACGATGGTATCGGTATTCACCGGACAGATGAGCAGCCGCCAACAGTGCAATACGTGCGGTGGTTTGTTATGGACATCGTTAAACAGTTTGTTGCTGGTGCGATGACGATAGCGTGACTTCTGTATGTTCACTAAATCAATCGGGAGCTGTCAATAGTAGCACAATCGGTTTCAATGGTAGATTATGTGGTGATTCACGTCAAAATAGCCGATACTAAGACGTCGATCACCAGACAAAGAGTATAACCAGTAAAATAATACGGCACCTGGGCTCGGACCACCGCTTAAGTCCGAGCGGTGGTCCTACATGATGTATGATGGCGATGTATGTGGCGGTGGTCCTCCTGTATGATGAAGCTATGATGCGAAGGATCTGAGCTCCAAGAGATCCAAGAGATTCACATCCACATCAAAGAAATCAAACCAATTTGAGCTCAGCTCAGACATATCCTTTGAGAGGTCTGGATTCGCATGCGATAGATCCTAATGCAGCTAACCTTCCGCCCACCTCCTCCAATACTTCTGTGTGTCGTGTACCTTCCCGGTTCAGTTAGCCCATCACGTCTACTTTCTCTAACCCTGTATTCTCCGCTCCGTTATAGCCGACCCGGAGGAGCAGTCCGGGTTCCGGATGACGCCCATCCTGGGTATCCTGATCGGCATCGTTGGCGTGCTCGTGCTCAGTGCCATCGTCATCGTGGTCGTCATCCGCACGTGCACCGGCTCGCGGCGAAAGGTGAGAATGGGAGTGACGGATGACGATGACGGCGAGTGCACTACATTCAGTAGAGACAGGCGGTCAGGGTAGGGTAGGACAGGCTGTAAAAGTGAGCTTTCGTGAACATTGAGACATACCGTCTTGCTTATCCTTTCATTGGCTGAGGCATGAGCTGAGATTTTACGACGGAGCGATATGATCGTTGCAGTCACGAGATCTAGAATATGTATAGCAGGCAAACAAACGTAAATATGTGAAGGTACGGAAGTATGGCATGCTAGCGCACTGTGTCTGTCCATTTTGCGCATTGTCTCTCGCTGGCACACCGCCGCGCCGGCCCGGTCCGGTACGGCCGTTCCCCATGGAACCGGGTAAATTAGGCCAGCCCCCAACTGCGGCCGGAATGGACCCGCCTCCTGCACTACCCCTCACCCCCACCGCTGCCCGCCCTCATCAGCTAACGTGATTCTGCTGTCGGCGCGCGCCCCTCCCCATCCCCGGGGCCTCGTTTGGGAGGTGCGCCTTCTGCCCGCTGACGAAGCTCCCTTCCGTGGCCCCGTGCGAAATTGGTCACCGAGCTGGGGTCTCCGGAGAGCCATCAGAGCGGGACCGCAGCCGCCGTGGGCGCTGGAGTAATAGTGACCGGATTGGGAGAATGGGGGAGATGAGCTCGTTTGTCCCAGGTCATGGTATGGTGGATTGGTGGAAGCTGTGTCATTAAATTCGTGGGGGATAGAAAACGGTCGTGGTGACCAAAAAGAGCAGCTGTCTGCTATTTTCAGCCTAAGTTAACGTTATATCAACTTGCTCGCCAGAGCTGAAATCCATGAACGTTTGCAAAAGCATGAGCGAGGATTACAAAGTCCTGTGAGAGTTGCGCATGCTGTAGGACGTAGGTATTATTTTACTGATGGTTTGTGCTCTGACAATCAGGCTACCAAATCAGAGTGTGAAGTCCGACAATCAGGTTATGAGTTTGTAAATAAAATAGGTATATAGAAAATCCAGAAGCCTGATTTTGTTGAAAGCTTCTGCCTTTTCTGATGTGTAATGCAATTTGCGATCAAAATATCCGACACCCATCCTGAGTGGCTTATCATCGGCTTATCATGCTTCAGCCTACTGAGTCCAGCGTCTTGGAAGAAGCCCTATCGCTCCACCACGTGGCTCACAAATACCCTATCTTTCCAGAAGAGTTGCCCGTCGGTAACTCAGCTCAACACCGGTCTGAGCGGCTCACAGAGCTTGGATCTCAAGGAGAAACAGCAAAATCCCGACATCGTCCCTACCGGTGAGTTCACGGGGCACGGGAGAATCGGAGGGGGAGGGGAGAACAAGATCCTCAGCTCCGTCGATCGGTCGAGTCTCGTGCCGCCATCCGGAGGTCGTGACGTGATCTCGGCATTTCGGGCCGCTCGTCCGCGAGCGCTCTACGACTTGGTGACATGATTTACGGGATTGGGTCCATTGTGCGGCGCGCGGAGCCACCCGACCGGCCGAAAAGCCTCCGGCGCCGTGAAGTCCCGTGCATGCAGAGCGACCCAGAGTGGCCGGCTCCTGAAATTGGCTCGCCGAGAAACCTGAGTTGGGTGAGAGAGGTCGCGGCCGGAAATCGCACGCTGGAATTACAGTGGCCCAGACGAGCAGGGCTAATGGCCCGCGGCAAATGAAATGCTTTAAAGAAAATGAAAAAATGCAATCTCCTAGACATCGAGAATGAGGCACGTTTGAACAGTTATTTTGTGCTCTTCTCACCTACATTCGAAGTCCACTAGATTAAAAACAAATTCACTGCGAACATAAGTTACTCTTAATGGCAACAATAAGCGTTCTACACACACTTAACGGCATCCCTTTAGGCCCATTTAACCTGACAACGACCGTTTGCTATTTTCAGAGTTCATGGATCCCGAGGAGAAGCACATGATCGAGCGCCTTAGTAACCCGACGCCTCGCACGCTGCGCTCGCAGTCGCGTGGATACTCCAGCGGTTATCACTCTCCGTGCAGCACCCTCGGCAGCCTAAAGAGCCAGCCGCAGTACACTCGCCGACCTCCGGATGATATGGTGAGTAAAACTGTGAGATAAGAGACAAGAACGGTGGTGAGATTAGAGTGGTAAGCTAAGAGGAGAGCTGTGAGAGTGAAGTCTTCACACAGCAGGCTCCGCCACGCGTGTCCGTGAAATTGGTGTTTATGCTGACCAGACTCGCACGTTTCGAGCTGACCGTGGTGATAATTTCACTGGCAATGATCTTGAGGTGTCTGCGGCGCATGAAATATCACCTAAACTACGAGATGTATGGACACTTCCCGGCATAAACATTGTACGCTCTACCGCGTTGAGTGCGCAGCCCGCGGACGCTATAAGCCATGGACGGCTGCTCCGAACGGTCGTTACGCCACGCCTGTCCCATGCTATGAGAAACGGTCCGTTTTAACACTATTCGCTGCCACTGACTCGCTGATACCAACATTACAGCAACTACGGGGAGACGCGCAGTACACATCCGTGCCATGCCTGACGCAGAAACTGGCCAACTGCGGCCAGCCCGGCGCACTGCCGGCCATGCCGGCGCACGATGAAATCTCGCCGTTTCTGCCCCACCTGGAGCACCGGGAGAGCTCGGTATAAGTGATGCCTGCCACCAGCATGCTAGGAGGTAGAGTAGAGCGCCCTCACGCCCCGCTCAAAACTGCGTGCTGACGGAGTGTAACGGGTTTCATTTGCATGACGTGTGGTCTGAGTGTGATAAATGGGAGATGTGGATGGATGCGCTGTTTCTCATGCCCACTACAGATCTCATGAGCGGTCAGCGGGCGATGAGTGAGCTGTTTTCTGAGTGGAATGCGTGTGGTGTGCGTATGTGTGTGTGTGTGTCTCGTGAATGCGTATGTGCGCCTTCTGGGCAATGAGACTTGCTGCTTGATCTTACTTCTTACTCATGCTAGATCGCGGCAAGTTAACATTTAATGCAAAATGTTTATCATTGAGAAGTATTGCACCTCTTTCTCTCTCAATGTAATCGTTAAGCACCGGATATCTTGCCAGTATCCAGCTTTTAAATTTATATACGGTTTCCACTCTATACTTACTGATTCAAGCGACTTTAAAAGCGAGCATGGCGTTATGACTAAGTAATCATAAGTAGGAGAGCATGTAGGTAATCAGCTTTGCATTTATAAGACTATCAGCTTACGATTACAATGTTGCGTTTAAGTTTCTTGAACATATTACCCTTATATGAAAGCTAGGCCTAAAAAGTCACACCATATTTAGTTGGATCCATTTGTTTAGTTGTGTACATACAGTGCCATTCGTTTTAACCTCGCGATACGATACCCGACCCGTGGGCTGTGGCTGACCTGACCGGTGCCTGTTCCGTTCCAGGACTCTTCGGACATGGAGACCTTTATGAGCCGAACGTCCTGTTCCGCCAGCCAGGAGACGGTCATCAATATGGCGGAGGCGCGCCTCTCGACTCAGTTCTGAAAAAGAGAACCGAGAGCACCACCACCCACCCCTGGCTCTCCTGGAGTTCAAACAATAGACCCACTTCCGGAGGAACTCCAGCCGTTCGAGCACTCTTGACACAGCGCCCTTCCGCGGACCGATCTGAACAGTCTGCGTGTCACGTGGCGAGCATACGCGTATTTATTGCCTCTTCAGTGCGTCCAGAAGTGGCTCAACTCGCTGTATTGTAAGAGCTTGTGGCAAGCTGTGCGCGGCCCCGAGAGGCATTATTCGAGCAATTGACTTGGTGAAGAACCTAGTGCGCGGTTCAGAAACTGTGGTTCAGCTCCCTGGTTTATCCGTGATGGCATTGCGGAGTTCATTTCCGAACAGTTGGCTGAACAAACACAAAGATCTCCGCTCTTACCGCAAAAGTATCAAGCCTGCAGCGTCGTTCTGTGCCGTCTTTTTCCACTCTCTTCGGACACACGTTCTCACTAGTCACTCGGCCGGGCAGTGGTCGATCGGCGAGCGATCAATTATAAACTGAGCGCCTCTGTGTGGAGTCAGCACCTCTGAACTCAGCGGGAGCCGAACTAAAAGGTCCACGCGGACTTCGGGTGTATCTCTCACCCGTCAAAAGAGGTGTCACGGGAGAGCGCGAGGAGGAACTGAAAACGACTGAGGTGGCATTTCAGAAAGAAGGACCTTTAGGAGTGATCGGACCCGCACCTCCCACTAGAGTGGGAATTATGGAATAGTGACGGTGATGGCTTCGAGAGAGTAGTCAATGGCCGTTCCTCAAAGTGGTGAGGATAGTGCTGATGGCATGGACCGCCTTTATTGTGACTGGGTTTACTCCCCAGGTTCGTTTACTGTTCGACCGGACCAATCGAGCTTCTATATCGTAACGTGCAATGACCGTGAACCGGCGCGCAGCTGTGTTGCGCGCGGCAGCGGGCCAAGGAAAGCAATCTCCCGCGCTAATGTCTGCAGATTACCTCTATCTGCCCCGTATTTGACCAGTACAAGCCGGATACTGTTGTGTATGCTGGGCGGACCATGTCGCCCGAAATCGCTGTGTATGTGTAGCTACAGTGCAGTGTTTATATGGTATCTTTGTTCGATGTCGCCGTCTCGCGTGTGCGTGAGTTCCTGGGGCACCCGTGCCCGTGCCAAAGACCTCGGGTGGCCACGGGCCATCGGGCGGGCAGTCCAACTCAGTGTGACCGACTCTGCGCAGGCCGGCCGGGGACTGATAGATGTGCAAACTGTGATAACCGATGTTGGCGCCGAGACATTGAGCTGCCCCATGTGCACGATGTGTTTGTAAATAAACTGAATGTATGTATCTACTAGTCAGCACAGTTTGTCATTTTTGTTTCTAAATAATCACGTTGCGCAGTGCTCATGAATTATGATGGACAGAGTTTCTAGGAAACCGTAATATGACACGCCGTCTGGCATGGTATTCAAGCCCTGGATTCCACACTTATATAGCTATAACCGCCCAACACGTGATGCTTCCCACGACGCTTAAAAATACATTCACAGTGGCAGAAATCCCTCATCAGCGCATAGACAGCAGATTATGGCTGCTTTCAGCCCATGATGCATCTAACGTCATCAACCGCACACGGCTCTAAATCTAATTCAACACGTATAGCTAGACGCCTTACAACAGATACGCTTCCATGAAAAGCTGAGCGCATCTCTTGCGTCATCTGAAGCCTTACATCAATGCACAGGACTTTATCCTGCCCACACGACCGTCTTTGGCGGATCGTCCTACGTCGTCTCGCTCCCGTGACCCGTCGGGGGGAGGGGGGGGGGGGGGCTTCGTGTCGCCGACGATGACCCGACTGGCAGTGTCGATTTCGTCGAGCGCTCCCCCGGCTCGTCTGCACACCAGTGTGACGACCGACGTGTCAACTTGGCCACGAGCGGGCCGGCATTCGAACCGCGGACCCGGCTGAAGCTGTCGACTTTTCCCGATCTCTCCCATTTCGCCGGCGGCACGTTATGGAGGCCAATGTCGTAAAGCGGGCCTGTGCCATACGGCGCCGATCACAACGGCCGGGAATTCATGGCAACAATCGGCTCTGTGGCAGATCGTGCGTCGGTCTGTCAGAATTACAATGACACGAGCGCAACAGGAGCGAAACGATTCGAGGTTTTCGTGGAGGTGATGGGCCGCGCGAGTTCTGAATTGCTATAGATAAAGGGGGACTTGGTAAGGATCGTGTCCTGGTGTCTATCGCCAGTCAATGAATGTGGTCGAATGAGCAAATTACCGACGGCATCCTCATGATACCTATTAGCCCTACCACTTATGAGGAACACGAACCATAACAACGTTTTCTATTTCCAGGAAGACATCCCCAGGGAGACTCAGACTGCGCGTGCGGTCCTTCCAAGAACTGATGTGCTTGTGACGGACGGGTGGGTGTATTGAGTTACCGTCGCATAGGCTCTCTGTCCACCGGTAATAGGGGTACTACCGGTGCCAAGGCCGTATATATAGTACGACCTCATGTTCCTTTTGTGACATTAAGGTGGCTAATGCGGTGTGATTGGGATTGATAGTCGGTGTGATAGTCCAGTCGGAAGATATTGAGCCGCGTGAATGTGTCGTTGGTTCTAGCATTTAATTAATTTTGAAAATTTGTTCTGGAAATAGCGCAGCATTTAGCGTCGATGGACACGTGCACAGACCACCTATGAAGTCAGACCAGCCAAAGCGGCAATCGTCGGCTTTTTCTACCCAGATCATTGCTTATTGCATACTGATGTCGGATGTTCAAAGATGCGCCAGTGAACTAACCAAACTGGGCAACATAAGTGTCTCGATAAAATAACACAAACTGGGCGCCTCGCGTACGAATTAACCAAACACCGTGCCTCAGCTGCCGTCCTGAGCGTCCTAAAGTTAACGACAGGCAGGCTGCAGGATAGGGTCCCTTTACAACCCTGCGCTCGTGCCCGTGCTGGGCCGGGCTGCCATAGAGGCGAACACAACTGGATAGCGAGCGACCATCTGGCCATAAACAAGCGTGTCACATCACGTTTATCCGTGACAACATTGGCCACCGCTGTAAACGTCCGAGGCGGCTGATTTGATCTCCAGGGCGCACGTCAACAGCCGACGGAGACACATCGGTATCGGAAAGGCAGGCTCAGTGAATTAAACAATGTCTAAGGGCTGACTGACCTAAAAGAAATAAAGTGGATTCTGAACGCTAAAAGCAGTCGAGTCGAGTGGCGCGATCCTCTTTTCATACTGAGGCCTGCCGATCCTCACTATTGATAATTCATCTCCCCCTCCGGACTGGCGGTCATCCCACCCATACAAACGGGGCGAGGGCAGCTTCTTTTACAGGAACACACCCATTCGGGGTGATTATTTGAGCGGTTGGGTGGTCTGTCCGATCAGGGCACTCCCATCCCAACGGAATGAACTCAGTCGCTGCGGTGCAACGGTCGGATCAGCTCAAAGGCAGAAGACTGAGCTAATCTGGTCAGTTTGTATGTTATTATGTACCCCGCTTCTTCCCCTTGCAGAGAATATACAAAGTGCGGGGAACCATGCAGCCACCACCTGAATCATGAATACAAACTCCAAACACAAAGTTGAGAACATGCCGGATGCCATGCCAGACCTTCAGCTGCCTGACCGAGGGCAACGCATCCCGTAACCCTGCAAGGTCACGCGAAATATTTCACCAGCTCCCCCGCAATAAATTGTCTTCATTGGCGCATGGCAAACCACGGTGCTGAGGGCCGGTGGCCGCAGCGCCACATGGCCAGACCACTGCCAGATGCTAGCAGATAAACGGCACGGAATGTGGAGGAATTTATGTCCGGAACTTGCCTGGTGAGAGGCGAGCGAACTCCCAGCTGATCGACACTGGCAGAGGCAGAACGGTGACGTGTCAAAAGTTGAGCGTGGTTGGCAAGGTCGCCGAAATAGGTGCGGGCAGTCAACGGGACCTTATGAGGGTTTTGCTGGATAGCCTGGATACATGCAACTGGAGAGCTGGTTACTGAGCTAACTGCCATTAGTCGCCGCCGCAGATGAATAGGTATGTGGTCTAGAGCGTAAATACGCTGAATGGGGAGGTGATGGAAGACACGTATCCCGGTCCGCAAAATAAGGCAATCATTCGACAGAAATAGAGTCAATTGTGAGACGAATCGGATTGGATTGCAACAACTTCGCTATTTTTGAAAGCTTCCTGAAATGATATTTATACTCACAAAAATCATTCCAGTCGCTATGGTCGCTTAGCTGCGTGCGTCCTTTCTCTGTACTAGCAGATAAATGCGCATCGGTTGCTGCCGGCCGATCCAGACCCATTAATCACACATTGGTCAAGAGCAGGTCAATTGGAAGTGGTCGCTTTCCGGGAGGCCGCTGCCGTAAATTGTTCTCAGTTCCGAAGATATCGACACGAGGCGGAGCCGGGCGCGGTGAAACGCCGGTGAATGGGGTTCGAACGGCGCCTGCGGACCGTGTTCCGGCTCACCGCAGCGGTGAACACGAAGATACGGCGGTCAGGGGGTCGACGGGTGCGGCGGAGGCGGCGGAAGGTCGGTCGGAGAGCTGGCCGGTGATGGTCAAGGAGAATTGTCCGGCGAGAGAGTCAGGAGAGTCCGATGAATTGAAGATAGGCATAAGGAAAAGGTACTTGAATGTTAACGAGGCACAACAGGGGCCCTGTTCGGTCGCTGTTTTTATATCAGCGTGCTGTCGGTTTTCCCCATATAAGGAAGTTATTGCTGGCGCGGCTTGGCCTCTCATTGGTCTAACGAATAGACCACTTGAATTCGACCAATGAGGAGCCAGGAAGTAGCATCATGGTCGCAGCCTGCTGATAAATAAACGGGGGCGAACAGAGCTATGGATTCCCACTCTTTATGTCGTTTGAAAACAGAGGAAATATTTCATAGCTCAAAACCGGGAGGAAGGACGCCGCCACTTTAGTTAAAACGATGCTCCCACATCTTATCTCATGTCCAAAACGACTCGGTTGTTTACTTATCAATTTGTTTTATTTCAAGGACCGGTCGGTTTCCGAACAAAAGGTGGAAATAAAATACACTTCCAGAGCCCACAGGGGACGACCACGGCAGTCTTCCAGGGGCCTGCACTTGATAACGAGTTCTCGCACACCCGGCAATCACCCGACCAGTGCGGCTGACTGGCATCCTATCACTGGCGATGTTGAGTCGTATTATTTCATTGGTCTGTTCTTCTGTTCGCTAGGCGCCATTTGGAGCCACCCCGCCCTTTGTTTGTTTATCTAGGGCTTAGGGCGCTACGGATGCTATGCCACTCCGGTGAAATGGCTAAACAGCTTCGAATCACGTGTCTGAGTGTATTCTATAAGAAACACAGTTACACCAAAGGTGAACATAATTCCGTATTTTACTACAGCGTACTAACTAACAATACCCACACGTCAGACATCTCCGGTCTATCAGCTTTTCGCTGGTGCGTGTGCATGTGCAATAAAGGTATATTATACAATTCAATTAAAGACGATAAAATCCGGTACACACATGGTCACACATACCCCTTCAACAAACTCATTAAAATTCGGAAAAAATTGCACTTCTCGAATTGAATTATTCATGTTTCTATTCATTCTGTGAGTTTCGTTAGAAAGTAGGTACTAGTGATGCACCATGACAGCATGCACCAAACAAGAGCAAAGTCACAAAACGAATAACTGAAGAATCGTCGCCATAGCTTGCCTCATATCATAGCGCACATTTAAAAGACGCTCACATGCTGCTTACACAAAACGATCTCAGTTAGATCTACTGACCGTGTTTGGTGAAAATCGGCATAATCGTTTACCAGGATCATCTAATGACACTTCACAAGTTATCATCTCCAGCTGGGACTTTCAAATGGTGACACATTTTGAAGGTCTTATTTATATTAACCTTTCAAATGGTTAAAATGCATATTCATCGTCCATGAACACAAACCCTGATTGACAATACCATCAAAGTCTATTCCTGTCGCAGTTCCCCACCCTAGTGTTTCCTTTCACTCTTTTACTGTGCCATCACACGCCGTGCCTTTCAGCGTTAGATGTCGCTCTCTCACCCCCTCCTCAGCTACCTTTAGCTTTCTGTCGCCAGTGGCACTCGGCGTTCTGTTTCCACTCTGCGCCGGCACCCTCGGCGTACACCTCGCGTTTCCAGATGGGCACGCGCGCCTTTAGGGCGTCGATGGCGTGTGCCACGGCCTCCAGCGAGTCGCGTCGGTGGCACGAGCTGATGGCGATGATGATGGAAGACTCGCCGACCGGCACCACACCGAGCCTGGCGGACAGTGAACGTGAGGTCAGGTCAGGTCGGGTAGCGGTGAGAAATACTTAGGGCAGGCACTTAAATACATTCCTGTATGTAAGAAATGGTGAATACATGCAAATCTCGGAGCATCGATGTTATGGCAACGTTCTAGCAATAATGGAAATGGGTGATTGTCTCTTAAAATATATGTACAAAATTTTAATCATTATACAAGCCTGCTCAAAATAATTATCCACACATTTACAATAATTGCACAGGAATAGTTTCGCGAACAATGCTCGAAAATGCAAACAGCATCTTGAACAAACACAAAGGATTGCGATTTTATCCCGAACACTGCAACAACCTCACCTGTGATAAATAGCGATATGTTTCAGGCTCCACTTTTCCCTCAAAGCGCCGCAAATCTTTTTCATCTCACTAACAGCCATCTCCTCGTAGGCCTCGTACTCGAGCCGCACCACCTGGCGGTCTTCGAACGAATTACGAGTTGTGCCGCAGAACGAGGAGATGGCGCCACAGTCGTCACTGCCAACTTCCTTGCTGATCGACTCCAGTGAGAGGGGCTCGTTCGTCAGACGTAAAATGTCCATCGTGGCAGTCTACGGATTAGCCTGGAATAACAGAAACGACTATTCACATCCCAATATATTTAGATATCCCCGAAAAACCAGACTCTAAAGACTAGAGAGTCGAGGGCAATGGGCAATGGGCATTCAAAAGTCACAGTTTCACATTTCAATCTTTCAACTCCGCAGGATGCAGGCATTTGCATTAATTCAACTGCTAAGAATGTTTTGACGGAACTGTATTACCCAATATGGGTCTACTGCACATAGCATCCGCCCCCGCCATCCTCAGGATAAACCCATCCGCGTCCCCCTCACGCTTCTCTTTCCGGGCTGGCGGTCACCCCACTTGATAACCGGTGGATGGGGTTGGGTCCACACCAGGGCTCAATCTTATAAACGCCGTGGAATGGATATGGCAGCACTGGCTGAAGTTCAGCTGTAGAAAACGGCTTTCAAATGCAAAATGGTTTTCACGCATTCCAGTCCATCCAGTTGACGGTCCACAGAATCGTTTCGTTGACTCGGCTAACCGTTTGTTGGCACTGGTATCACTGTTAATGTTACCAAATGCCGTGAATAGAATAGTACGGCATTTTATAAGATTCGGCCAGGACCCGTTAAAATTCCCTCTGGGGTGACCGTTTGAGTGGTGGACTGATAGTCCCAAATCCCAATGGGGCAAACCGGTCCGACTGGGACGGTCTCGCCTCTACGGATCACAGTCAGTGGTCCCGCACAGCTAATGTCTACGCCCTATCTATCCTAATTATCCCATAGCTCTGCAATGGCCTTTTTAGGCCGAAAAAGCTTGCTATCCCTCCCCCAAAAACGTAGATAACAGTACAACCGCTATTTATGGGCTTACCTTTAAAGAGTTAATCACACATAGCATAAATGCACGCAACGGGCGGTGCAGCGACAACCTAAACCATTCCCTAAAAGGACGGTTTCAGCGAGGGTGGTCGAGGAGGTTTTCCCCCAATATTGTCACATAAAGTGGCGCAAACTCTAGTGGTAGTGAGGCATACTAGCAGGGTGGAATTCAGCAAAATATCTGCGGCCCATTGTAACACTGCCCACAAGTGCCTGTACCAGTCTACCTGTAACCAAACGAACGTTCGTTTCATGCAGCTGTGCTGTATTACACGAGTTGTTCTTATTCCCGTCCATAGATGTCACTACTGATAAGCGCCTGTTTCACGCCGTACCGCATCACACGGTTTAGTTCTTATGTTCGTCGATAGATGTCCCTACTGACGAGCGCCTGTTTCATGCTGTGCCGCACGACACGGTTTAGTTCTTATTCTCGTCAATAGATGTCCCTACTGAGTGACGAACGCCTGCTACATGCTGTACCGCACAGCATGATATGGTAGTTCGAATTCCCGCCCCTAGATGTCTCTACTGACATACGCCTGTTTCATGCTGTGCCGCATCACACGGTTTCGTTCTTATTCCCGTTCATAGATGTCACTACTAACAAACGCCTGTATCATGCTGTGCCGCATGAAACCGTTCCCTGCGGTCGCTCCCGAGCAGCCGCGGGACCCACAGGAAGTGTTACATGATACCCAGAATGCTGCTCTCGCCTGATTGGTCGCCAGCTAAGCTCCGCCTTTTTGGCCGCGGGAGCCGCGGCGGCCGCAGACACTTTTGTGTATTGTGTATTGTGTATTGTGCCAAGCCAACCACAGACCCAGCGGCCCATTTACAGTGGCAGTCATGCCCATAAAATACAAAAAAAAAAAAAACACTACATACTACTACAAAGCACGATACGTTGTCTCAGATGTAAGCACCCTGAGAACGAGCGAAATCACACACATCAGAATGGATGCAGTTCGACGGAGCCAACATATCTGCATTCGGAATTTTCTGTAGAAAATTGTTGCATAGCACAGGAATGCGAATGAAAAGTCCCGACTTTACAGTGCTCACTCTGCCGAATGCGACATGAAACAGTGCTGGCTGCCGAGAACGTCTGTTAGGGACCGCCAGACCAAACAGACTCAGAAGGTGAGGACAGTCGATCCGTCCATGGTGCAATCCCAAAACCAGGCGGAGATCGGCTTGAATAAAGCGCGATTTCAAAGAACACATGCCAAATCGAACAAGAAGCGTCTCATAACTCATGGGCAGGTCGCGACCGTGGGTGTTGGATGCCAGCCAAGACAAGAAGCGATGCTGCATGCGCTCGAGCCGCGCCAGATGTGTTACTGCTGCGCCACTCCACACAACGCTGCCATACTCAGCAATGGAGCGAACATGGGCATTGTACGCGGCGATCAGCGCACTATGGTCAAACTTGACCCGCCGGGGACACCGAGGCAGTTGGACACCTCGCATAATCATCCCCAACATTTTCTTGCATTTCCGCACGGTCACATCGACATGCTGAGCAAACGTAAGCTTCGCGTCCAATTGAACTTGAACAGGGCCCGTAGTTTTGAAGCCACATTTACGTAATAGTGTATCACAAGCAAGACGAGGATGTTTCACTAAAATTGTGCTGTGCCAAACACCGATGAAGTTAATGTTTCTTTCCAATTCCCACTTATCAGTCTCTGTTTTCCTACTTCGCCGATTTTATTTTTCTGCAAGGGAGTCCTGTGGCCACGAGCTTTCATTTGATCGGACGGTTCTGAATAGGCACTGCGAGTCGCTAGTCCAGCGATGTTCGAGTGGCGACAATCCCATAAACCCTAGCATAGATAACATGGCATGAATCATATTATCCATGACCCTAGTTACAATTTATGGACGGCGAAGCACTGAAAAATCACAAGGCAGTGTTCTTTATGAAGAACTCCTTAGACTTTGAATTACTGGCGTTCCTATCTACGTAATCACAAATCACAATGCAACATATCCCAGTCTTTGAAATCAAATTTCCGCTCGCTTAGCAGACTGCAAAAAGCCCAACATTCGTCAGAAGTGGGATTCGAACCCACGCCTAAACCAGACTGCGACCCTACACCGCTCGGCCATCCTGACCGCAGACATGCATATACATAGACACAACAATTTCGGAAAAAGTATGGAGCAAGAGTTGTAAATACAATGCTGACCCCCCGCCCCCCCCCCCCCAAAAAAAATTGCCAACCAATCTACTCTAAAATAAATTAAGCTTACCCAAACTACCCTCGCAGGTCAGCTCTGGGCACAAAACCCTGCGACTGTCTCATTCACTCCCTGACTTTGGCAGAGGGTACCCCATCGCCCTCGGCCCCTCGGCCCCTCGAACCGAAAACAGGGACCAAGAACCACGGACCACCGACCACGGACCCCGGAGACCATGACTCACCTCCGCTGATGGGCGGTATGACGGCCACCTCGTCGCCGCGTCGAATCGTCACCGACTCGTCGGCCTCCAGGTATCGCTGGTTCACCGCCAAAATGAACGTGCCCTGTCGTCGGGTACGAGAGGTTACACAATAACCAGTACAGGCCTGAGGCTACCAGCTTTGGGAAGTGGACGTCGAGATCTGAAGAACGCGTAGTGTGCCACCTAAAATGTAACCTGACGATATATTTCACCAGGGTAGTGTGATGCGATGTGGAATACATGGCGTGAAGCGGGTTAGATAGATAGTGACCTTAATTGCGACCGTTTTGCGCTGTCACGTTTTCCTTCAATCTATCGAATTATATTCAATCCACGATCAAAATTCGTCCAAAATCCACTGCCGGTTTTCCTATTCTTGTATGCGCTCTCAAAGCCCCTGACAAGAAGAAGTCGTGAATAGGGAATACTCTTGGGACTAGGAAATGCACGCTAAAAGTGAGACCATTATGGAGATAGGATATGCCCCAGCCCATTACTCATCCAGCATCTGTTCGATAGTGTTCATCTATCGATTCAACGCAGAGTCCCCCGAGCTGTACGGCCTGAGCGGAACTAGCAGCAATAAGATGAGCTCAGGGAAGTAACTGAGGTGCCTGCTGTGTAAGTACGGTAACTGTGAATCTGTGAAGACCGCAGCTCTGCTTTGGCCTACATACTATCGGGTCATTTTTTTTTTTACTTTTTATATTTTGTTTGATTTGCATCATCATCACAGTCAGTCGCTTTCCAGCGCAGAAAAAGAGATAACACCACACCATGTCAAAAATAACATCATTCTCTTACACTAGACAAACCCTGAACAAACGCTGTCTGGAACCCAGGCCGACAGAAACACAAAAACAGTACACCTGCGCCACTTACGCATAGCATCATCATAACGAAGGCCATATATAGGACCAAAACATCATACGATGACGCCGCGAGGAAACGTGGCGCCCCCTCCCTCGGTGTACTGCGCAACTCGGCGGCTCTCACAATGCACTGCCAGGGCAAAAAAAGACTTAATTAAAAAAAAAAAACAAGAAACGCCAAACGGCACGTCGCAACCCTTCCGCATTCGTGAATGAGTGTATCGGATTCGGGCCGGGTTGCCGTGACTGACGGCCGCCAAGATCATGCTCCAGAGCCTGGCTGCCTGAACTGAGTCCTCCCGTGAGACTGAGCCCTCCCGTGATACCAATAAAACAGAACTATACAAATGTCTGTCGTCACTGGTCGTATACCGCACTGAACCCAAGGAGTATGTGGAACGAATGCCGCACCAGTCGGCTCGTAGTGTCTGCGTTCAGGGAGATCCTGGTCTCTTCTCCTGGTGAAAAAGGACCTCCCTCCGTGATGCTCGTATAGCTCGTATGGCTGTTGGCCGCTCAAACCCTTTCCCATGATGCTGTATGCTGGGTGATAGCTCCTTCAGTCAACATAGTGCTTTGAATTATGAAAATACGAGCCATTACCGAAGCCATTACCGTATGCGCATTGCGCACCATGGCTTAAACGCAAAAGCTCCCCGACGGGGAATCGAACCCCGGTCTCCCGCGTGACAGGCGGGGATACTCACCACTATACTATCGAGGAGTGGTAACGTTCCGCGTAAAAAGTAAATCTGGACAGTATACTCCCTCATAATAAATCCACGAAACGCTGGTGGTGTTCCTTTATGGGGCGAGGACAAGGTTGAAAGTCATTCCCGCGCCATCAACTAAGCGAGTCATTATGAGTAGGCACTTCTCGCTCCCTCTCTTTCGCTTCTGAGCCTCTAGTCTCTTGCGCACGGCGTCTACGATTATGACCCTTCAGTGTCCTAACCCCCTCTCTTGATCTCCTATCCGACCCGTTGATATTCTGACCTGTAGCGTAGCCAGCTGGGGATAGGTCTGCACCAGCAGCTCACGCAGCTCGGCGCCGCTGCACTCGGTCGGTACTGATACGGACACCTGCGGCGACCCGACCAGCTCGCGAGCCTTGGCGAACAGCAGGAGCGTCACGTCGGCGGCAGCCGGCATCCCCTGCCGGTCACAGAGGGTCAGGGGTCACGTGAGGTCACAGAGATCATATCAGAGGGTCATGTGAGGTCACATAGATCCAATCAGGGGTCACATGAGGTCACCAAGATCATATCCAGAGGGTCACATGAGGTCACCAAAATCATATCAGAGTGTCATGTGAGGTCACATAGGTCACATAGCAGGCCGTAAAGGGTTAAATAAGTTAAATGGGTAACACAAACCGCAAGAGCCGTAGTTCAGTCAAGTGGGTTACGGGTTATACAGGTCATACATGATACACACAACTGACACAAGCCACACATGGGTCACACTGAGTCACACACAGGACAAAAGGTCTCGGCCAGGTCAGACAGGTCACAATTATCGCAGCTCACTCCAACCAAGCCTCCCTGCAGCGATAAAAACCTGTTGCTAGGTAGCACTCAGCTGCACGCTACAAAACAAGTGCAGTGCACGGCCTGACTGAAACACACCGCTGCTCACACACTAATCACAACACTGCTAAACCGGTGTAGGTGAAGGTAGGTATATGCCATTGTTAGATAGCCCGGGGGTCGGTACCCTCATTGACAGGCGGAGCGAAGGGGCGGGGGGGGGGCAGCAGAGGCGGGGTTGTCGAATGTAAGGTAAGCAAATATGCCGACTAACGCGTTCTGAGAGTGTACTAAGCTCACACTGGAGCGCTTTGCCTCGTCGGTGAAAGCCGTATGCGTGCGTTCTGTGGGTTGAGCACACAACGTTCGACGCCGTCACGCTGGAGCACTGGCGACCAAGATTACTGACCTAATACAGGCGACTATCCGTCTCGGGACAGGGCTGAGGACATGTTGGCCCAGTGGTGCGCTCTGTGAAGTAAACATACAACTGGCCCCGGCCGCCTGCACCACGGAGAGCGTCAGGTACGTCGGCGTTTTTATTATCATTATTCTTATCGATTGACCCAGCATAAGCTGTTCCTGTTTCTGAATCAGGTACAGTAAAAAGCATTGCTACCATTCCGTTTAACCGCACTTTGACCGCCTGTGCGTCGAAGCGAGTTCTTCAACTTACTAATAAACTTTAATGAATCGCTTATGTTAGACCACTACCATTGACGCTTTTCCAGGTTTCACACTTTTTTGCATTCAATAGGGATACAATTCAATCGAATCAATCCAAATCAATCGGGATTGAGCCTCGTTAAATTCTTTCACCGACAAGGCCGATACCAGGTTGGGAATATTCCGTTCGAACCCATGAGACAGATCAGCAGATCTATGTCAAAACAGAATGTCATTCACGGTTGGTTGCATAAATGTAATGGCAACGATTGAATCACGGTAAATTGAACGGCTGGATCACCGTTATTCAATACGAGACACAATAATCAATGTAATATCGTGCCCTAGTCCATTCCCGACATCCAGGCAGAACCGGGTAACAAGTGACAACCAAAGTGTCCAAAACGCCCCACAGCCCCAAATTTCTCCCCTCTCTTACCTCCAGTGGCCGGTACTCCGCTCTGCTGTCCTCTCTACTCGGCCCGCCGACCTCGACAGGCGACGCTCCTGGGACGACGGAGGGCCAGCCGCCTCTCACCCAGGCCCGATACTGGCGGCAGGGGCGCGCACCGTGACGTCACCGATCGAGGGGGTGAGGGGGGCGGGGGGGGGGGGGTGAGCGGCGGCTAGAGACAGAGGGAGAGGAGGGGCGGTAGCTTCATTATCTCTCAGACACAGTATAACGCGCTATGCATGCCCATTTTTGACACCTGGAGACGCCTCTGTCGCGATGATGACGTTGCAGATTTGGATACCTTGAGTGTTAGTTCAGGGACTCGGGAACTTTGAAGTGTCGGCACTTCTCTCGGCGAGACGAGAGAGGGAGAGAGTGCAACAGACTACCTAGGGCATCTACATGGAGTCTGGCAGACATATAACAATTGTGATACGGCTTTGATTGGTGTCTGGTGAAAAGTTGGCTATAATGGAGCCAGTATGTTGCACACGTGTTCGGTGTTGCCTTATACATATGTGGCTCCAGCTGGCATGCCCTTTGATCATGGTAGCTACCTAGTACCTGTGATGATTTTAAGTCTCTCGGATGTCCGTCACTGGAAGTACCGGGACGATACTCGTTACCGGCCCCGGGGTGACGTGACCTTGCCCGCGGTGCTGTTACGACCTTGGTCCATGCGCGGCGATCTCGATTAGTCAGCGGGAGGGGGATGCGCATAAGGCGGCAGCAGTACAGCCGTCACAGCTGAGCTAGAAAAACATGCTGTTCAAAATATAACTGCGATCAAATGAATAGGCTGTTTTCAAACCATAATAACGTCAGGATGGCCGAGCGGTCTAAGGCGCTGCGTTCAGGTCGCAGTCTGGTTCTCCAGGCGTGGGTTCGAATCCCACTTCTGACATACACTTTGTGTGTAATCCTGACCCAACCGGGGTGTTTTCGGACAAAGCAATCCACCAGCGACATATTTACATAATCGCACAAGGCAACATCTACCGAAAGAATCCGGCCCCAGGGCCTGCTGCGGTCGAAAGATCCAAACAAATATGAACAACTGCAACCACTGCTTAAAGTGTTAAATGTTTATAGATAGACTGGAAGATGGATACCCTACAATTCATGGGTGTGATGTAGATGTTGAGCACCTTTCATTTAATTTTCATGAGCTGCTACAAGGCTGTCAAGAAAAATGGTTGTCATGTACAGAGATATGAATCACATGGGATTGAATAGCATGAATGTGGAACACCATTGCTGTTTGGAAAATGTGAGGGTACTGCCAAAGGTTTAGACCCATATACCCCATTAACCTAACCTGTCAATTCTTCCCAGGTGCCTACCTAGCAGGGCCAATTGGGATGTTATAAACCATATCTAAGTGATCACTGAATGCACCTTTAGCATTGATGATAGGTTTCCTGTCCACCAAAAATTTGGTCTTAAATGATTTTTTTCTCTTACATTTAGTGTTGCAGACTCATTGGAACCTCTTCTTGAAAACCCCTGAGGCCCTGAATAAATAAATAAATGGATAGGGATTTGGGATTGTCTTCATGAAATTCATGACTGAGCTAAGACAAACCTGGCCCTATCCCTATGCTAAATTTGTCATTCACAAATATTTTCAGTTAGGTTAGGAACAGACAGGGATGGGAATTGGAGCAGATATATGTTCCCCTAAGAGTCCAGTTTGTACATCCTCATCAGCTCAATGAGAGCGGGATCCTCAAGCAAAGTGGCCTTCTTTAACTCGAACACCTTGAAAGTAAGGTAAGGTATGCAGACATGGACACAAGCTATAGCATGATGATGATGATGATGATGAGGCTGTTATGTAGCTGGTAGCACAACTGGGGATACATGAAAGTGCAAAGCATTTTCAAAACAATTAATATGCATTGCATTGCACTATTAACAGATGTGGAATTGTCACTAACAATATAGAGGCCTTGAACTTTGTCATGAACAAAGCAGGCAAAAACCATACCTACACCAGTCAGGAGCCAGCTTGATCAAGCCATCAAATGAACTCAATTTCAATAATTTATTCAAATTTGAACACTCAAAAAGGTTTGCAGCTTGTAGACCTTTTCAGAGTCTACAAGCCTACTTGGGCAATATCAATTGACCCAAGAGCCATGCATTGGCTATCTGTATCTGTAAGAAACTTGGGCATTACCTTCTAGAATCAAATGCAGATAGGTGGTTGAAAGAAATAAGAATGTTCGTCATTCATAGGATAAGTTGTTGTTGTTGTTTTGGTGTAGGGCGCATAGCCTCTTGGGCTCAGAGCGTCCAGAAGTTGTCTTCACATCTTCTCTTCCTTCTTGTCATGGCCAGGGAATGGAACTAAGCGATCCATGGGACAAGGAAATGCGTTGCCAGGATTTGTCCAGTTAGGATTTATCAGTTTAGGTTGGTATTGCCGTAGTTAGATGTTAGTGATTGGTCAAACTACACTACCTAAAAATAAAAATAAAGTAAATTAAAGAGAAAGAAAAACAAACATCATACATTTCACAGGTTTAACATCAGCTCATACTCATAAGGCCTGCACTCAGCCATCACGCCAATCGTTCACATATGCTCAACATATCCGAGTATATACCAAAAACGTATCAGAGTATATAGAGCAAACATATGTTCCTCTGTTATCCTGTAAGAGGAGCGCGCTGTGTTTCAGCTCGGCCTATCGCACACAGCAATGTGGTCTACACTGATTGTGCACGGTACTGACATAGGGCCTGTTCCAGCGCCTCCAGAAGAAATTCTTGACTGGAGGCTCTACCAGAGGTTTTACTGGAGGCGCTGGAACGCAATCTGGAGATTTCTGGAGATTGGCGTCATAGATACCAAAAGAATGACGATTGTTCTCTCTTGAAACGCAAAATTTGTTTTCAATTTTAGTTAAAAAGATAAATAAAATTATAGCAATGTAATTTTCTTTACATTCAAGTTGTAAAATAATCAGTCAAATGTCCTTTGTTTACATTCGTGATTGTCACATGTGCACCATAATTGTAGACCAGAGCCTCCAGAGAAATTTGGACCTCTCAACTCTCTGGAGGCTACTGGAGGTTTCTGGAGCTTTGGTGAGAGCTTTCTGGAGCTTTCTGGAGGCGCTGGAACGCTCTCTGGAGGATTCTAGAGCTTTCTGGAGCTTTCTGGAGGTTTCTGGAGGCGCTGGAACAGGCCCATAGTCTGAATTTGTGTGTGTGCGACTGTCAGTACCGATATATTGTAGCAGTTTAGTGTACGCGAGTGCCGTGGCGGGTGGGGAGGGAGGGGGAAGCAAATCACCGAGTTAGTAGCAGCTATTCATAGGATAAGAAAAGAAAGAAACTTACCACTTATCGCCAATCGGCGCCAAGAAAAGTGTGCGCAGTATTTTGTCTTTTTTGGTTTCAAGGTCATATGGAATCATAGATTTTGCATAGATCTAGGTTTGATGGATAATTTTTCCTTTAAAAAATATTTGAAACAGGATAGAATCTCATCATATTATATGCTTTCTTATTTGATACTTTAAATTGCAAATATTTTAAATAAAATAAAGTTTAAAGTACCGCAAAATGATTTTACAACAAAAAATGAAAATAAATCTTAGAGAATTTTTTTTTGCAACGGAGAGAAAATATTCCGAAATAGAGGAAGAAAAGCTGCCGATTGCCAAATTGGCCAAATCAGCTTGCTTCTGAGGCGTGAAGCAACGCGGAAGGCTGTGATCACTAGTTCTCTATATACCGTGTGATCACTGAACTCTACAAGCAGCAAAAAAAAAGCGATGAATAATTTTCCTATTATACTGATTTTTTGACTTTAACGAATCAATTTTTAACTATTGTTTATTGATAAAGCCTATCTGATAGCTGAAAGGAAGATTTTCAAGAAAAGGTCAGTTCTGACCTCTGAGAATCAGCGTATTTGTGAGTTCAGCATTATCAAGTTAAAGTGTTTTTTTTTTATCCATGTGGCCGTGGGACTGGGTACCAAGGCCATTTAAGAGAGGTAGAATCATCCCACAATTTCCAATGGACTGGTCGCTTAGCATTAGTGTTACATCACTGGTGGAGATTGTTCGGCGACCGGCTCCAAGCTGAACTCACCTGTTGAACTCACCTGTTAGGTTTCCTTGCTCATTGCCCAGATGGTGGTAGGGTTATTAGAGACAGGAAGTTTGTATGTTAGGTACCTACTGCTGGAACGTACGACCTCGCCAGCTCCGAGTCCATGGACTCAGAAGACTCAGGGATAGTCATAAAGCAGGTGTCACACTTGTTAATGCAACCAAGGAGAGGCGCTATACCTGGAGGTGCTTCTTTCCAACCAAACCAAGGCAAACCTAACATGACCTAGCCTGACCTAACCTAACCTAACCTAACATACAATCTTATAGCTTATAACCCACAACCTAAAAAAAGCAGCACCACCTAGTGCCTACAACCTGCAACCTAGTTACAACGGTATTAGTAAGCCTGGCGTCCCAGGAAGATGCCAGATTGGGACGACAGATATATAGACCAAAACAAACCTAACCTGACCGAACCTTACCTACAGCCTACAAACCTACAACCTACAAACCTACAAACCTACAAACCTACAACGGTATCTGGCATCTTCCTGGGACGCCAGGCTTACTTATACCATTACAACCTACAAACCTACAACCTACATATCTGGGTATAGATCCTTTCCTTGGTTGCAAAAATGAAAGTGTGAAGCCTGCTTTATGACTACCAATTCAGGCTTTGGGCCCTTGGCTTGGGCTATTCGCCAGCAGCCTTCAAAAGTATAGACAATTGTCAAGGTGTCTGTGCTTTGTACTCTGTGCTTTTGAATAGGAAAGTGAGTAGACACTACAGTTGAGCTGCTTACCAATGATGTGCTCACTTCTTCCAATGAAAGATGAGATTATCAACTTAATAAGGAAGTTGCAGGTCCATGCATGTCACATGTGGCTGCCAAATGTATTTTTTATTCTTCCTCTTCCCCCTCCCCAAAGATATATAAGCCCCTCCCTCAGGGCCCCAAACCCCATAGCATCTACCTACCATTGCCTTTCTAATTCTTTGATCTAACAGTGCTTTTCTAGAAAATATTGGCCACCAATTCCTACAGTATTCCAAGATTATTATGTTAAATATATTAATTTGCATTAGAAAACACTGAATATCTGTGTTGCAGTCAGCTCAGCAATCAGTTAACACTTAACAGTGATCTGCCTGTTCCAGCACAGCACCCTTGGTCACACCATGACTATTGGAGATGGTTCAACTGAATGGGGAGCAAAGTCGGACTCAGCACCACTGGAGTCAGTGCCAGAAGAGAATGAAGAAGGAGACTGTACCTTCACTGAGCCACGACCCGGCACCATCCTGTACGAGCTGCTGGTGTTCTGTGAGTGGCACCTGGAGCCGCGCCTGGAGAGTCAGGAGCGCACACCAGCGCCCAGTCTACGTCAGTGGGCGTCCAGCTTGTGGACACCAGCAGCGGCGACCCTGCCGGAGGCTGTCTCAGAGCTGGCACGGTGCCAGCCGGCCTGGCACCTGGACCTGAGCCCTGACGGACAGCTGCTAGCGGTGCTACGAGATGACGCCGTGGAGGTCCGCTCCGCTCGCGACAACTTCACCTCGATCGTGGCCTGTGCGGAGCTGGTGGCGGACGCCGAGCCGCAGCGTCGCCGGCTGCGCTGGTCGCCTCCACCGGCCGGTCCCTCCGCGGCGGAGCCGGACGGCGAGCCTCCGCCGCCGCTGCTGGCCGTCGCCGCCAGCTCGGGAGCTGTGGACGTGCTGGATGACACGCTGAACACGGTCTGCGTCATCTACCCCACCGAGTATGGCCGCGCGGTCGGAGCGCCGGTGACAGAGCTGGTGTGGGCTCCTCCCCGCACCCCCGGCTGGCAGGCGCTGCTGCTGGTGGTGGGGTATAGTGGAGAGGTGTCCGGATACCACCTGTCACACACGGAGGGATACCAGCACATGTTCACCGCCTCGCTCGGGGTAAGCAGTGGCGAGATATCGGTAAACGTCACCGTAATATTTTTAGCTGTTGGACTTAATTCTGTAAAAAGAAAAAAATCTTACAATTGCAGCAGCACATTTTCGCATCCTAAATGGTTAAGTTGTACTAATTATGTTTGCCATCTAATGGTGCATTAACACAAGTCTGTTGTATTTTCCGACAATATCAGATACACGTTCGTCTTTCAGTACTGTGAGCGAAAATAAAACTTTGTTTTCACACGATGTATGATCGAGATATGTCAACGCGTGCTCTTGTCGCGCTCTATAATTTCACTCGTTAGCACGTTAAGCGGGGTTTGTGGACCGTCACTCGCTGCTCATTAAATTCTAACCCTGCTCCGTCGCTGCAGGTGTACCCGCACGGTATCAGCTGCGCCACCTATGACGAGCAGCGCCGTCTGCTGGTGGTGGCCGGGGAGAGCTCCCAGGTGGGCTGTGAGCGACTCCAGGGTCTGGGCAGCTGCGAGGGTATCACCTGCTGGCGGCTGGTCCACGGACCGCCCCACCTGCAGCTCTGCCAGAGCGAACAGGTGAGAAAAGATGGCAGCGACCAGGCTGGTAAAATTGGCAGCTCTGCCAGGGTGAACAAGTCGGGAAACGCAGCCCACAGCTCTGTCAGAGCGGGAATAGGCTGGTAAAACTACAGGTCTGTCAGAACGAACCAGGGGAAACAGGTGAATGACGAAGTGGACAAGTTCTTATTAATCTCATGCTATCATTGAACTCGTTCATGGGACAATTCTGTGGTACCACCCGAGAATAAACGGTGTATTGCTGTTTCCCGCAGGAGAAGGAGTTGTCGCCGTCACTGCTGTGGCTGCCGTGGCGGCGCAGCCGCACCACCTGGGACCCGGTGATAGCCCTCTCGCTCTGCCCCAGCTCGCGCCGCCTCCTCTCGGCGCACCGCTCGGGCGCTCTCACCATCTGGGAGTTCCCCTCTCTCCGCAAACAGTCACACTGGCCGCTCGAGTCACAGGCGGGCCACGAGGCCATCAGCCCGGAGCTACTGCGGCTACCCACCGCCCGCCGGCAGCGGCGACTGCGCGCGCTGGGCGCCGGCGCCGCCCGCCCCGCCGCCATCGCCTGGTGGACAGACGCCGCGGCCATTCTGGCGCGCAGAAATGGCGCGGTGACGGTGAGCGATGCGGACTCACTAGAGAACCTCCTAGGCGAGAGTCCCGAGTTTTTCAGCGGCGCTCCGCGGGTGAGCGCGGGGCGGGCGGCGGGTGCCGGACAGGCGTGTCTGGTGTTAGAGTGTGAGAGGAGGACAGAGTCGGCGAGGAAGCGGGCAGAGAGCGGGAGGACGACCGATGAGGAGGAGGACGGGGAGGAAGAGGAAGAACCGACGCCAGGAGTGCCGCGGAGGCTGCTGGACGGCGTCAGGTGGGTACTGGGTAGTACGTCAGCAGGGAGGGTTTGGTGGGCGGGTTAAATTCTTGTTCATTCTTGTTGATATCATGACACTGATAGCTCAATCCGCAGTAGTTTGATTTTCTGAGGTCACTCACTTCCGTCTTCATGAAGTTGTCATTTATTACGAAAATGTTTCTTGTCCATTTATTACGAAAATGTTTCTTATCCAGTCGTTAACCTTTTTAGCTCCTGCAAAAAGGTTTGGCCTGCACTGGCTGACTAACTGAGACTCTGTCACCTAATACTACCTGGTACCTACATTTACATCTCTTTCCTCTATTCCCCACAGATCGGGACTCC